GCGCAGCGGCGCACATTGAAGAGTGTAACGGGTCTGGCGCCCAGTACTGGCATCTGGCATCTGATTGGCCAGACGACCATTCTGCACCCGAGCGACCGTGCCGTACCGGCAATGGAGCGGCAGCCCCAGAACGCTCGGGCTGTCTCGACGCCAAGAACACCACCTTGATGCCTGAAGCATCCAGACAGCCGCGCACGGCCTTATAAGGTTGGCCAGCTAGACCTGCCCTACGGGCTGGTCTTTCTTTCCTTCTTGTCTTCGTAGAACCTTAATTGATTCTCATTGGCCAGCATCTGCGTCACGCTCTGCTGTCCCCTTACAAAGAGCATTAGTATAACGGAAGGCCTCCTCAGGGCTTACGAATACATGAGAGGAAACAAGTAAAAGGACCCATTGTCACTGGTATAGTGGGCTTGGCCTCTGCGTTGAAATGGAGCAAAAACCACACCAATAACGAAGGGAGCCTACACCACACGAAAACGTATGGCGAGGAGCAGATCTGTTGGTTAGTTTCTCAACAACAAAGGGTTTTTCACTTAACGGTTCAGAGGGACGATTTTTTTCCTGGAAAATGAGTGTCTTGTCTTGAGGAAGGAGTCTTGCCTGCCTGCTTCTAAAAAGAGAGGACGGAGTCCTCCTTTTATCTCCGAAAAAGGGTCCCCAGGCTTCCGAATCAAGGCTGAGGTGCAGATCTGCACCCCCTATCTAACAAGTACTCAGACAATACTTCAACAGACAAAACACCCCAAATCACTAGATGGCATGACAGAGGAATTCCCGGCACTTTTCATAAACTCGATTCATGAATCAGCAACCATAGCATCCCCTCCGCAGTCAAGACGTTCCTTCCTCAAAGCTACGATGCCTCGATGACTGCGCTCGTAGTTCCAGACGACTTTCAAGCGACACGGAAAGGCGGAGATTAGGGAAGGTCCAAGGACCAAGAGCAGTCTTGCCCTGTACCTCTGCTGTATAGTGGATATCAAATCATCCTTGCTTGGCGCCAAGCAGATGCTGCTGAGTGTCGACATGTCGATAGGTCACCATATCTCCCGCATTTCTCCACGGTGTGAGAGCGCAGCTCGAAGATAGACTAGAGAAATAGACGTTTACTAATGACGCAGACGCCCTCGCTACACTTTTGAGGCCATCATCGATCATCCACACGATACTCTCATCTGGAACCGAGTCGACGAAGCCATCATCAACTCCAGACCGTCCCCAGAAATACGAGCCTCTTCTATCCACCAAAACCCAATGGTTGCGCAACAAGATCCCGGACTATAGCAGCCAAGCTTGGAAGGAAACTCTCGGTTGCCCTCCGCCATCCACAGCAAAGACAACCCCGTTCCACCAGTCACGCCTTCGACCCATTTCGGGGCTCTTTTCCCGACCGCTAGTGACATAGGGGCAAGCGGCGGAAGCCACCGCAGCTAGCCACATTCTTCTGGAGCTCAACCATTCGCCTCTGGTCGCCAGTAGGGTCAATGGAAGCCGGCTGCAGAGCCCAGTCAAGAAATTCGTTGGTATAGTTTGGTGTGAACTCTGGGCCCAGGACCTGAAGTCGTTGACCATATTTGGTGACCTTGGCCCAGTCGCGCTCGACGTTCTTGAGGTCCTCGGAGAAGTATGCGTAGCTGCGCTCAAAGATCTTTCTGTTGAGCTCAGTGCCCATAACAGGCTTGAAGTCAACATACTCCTTCCACGCAGCGTGCGGGTTTGCCAGGACAAAGTCAGTCGCTTTCTTGACGGCGCGCATGAAGGCCCGAACCTTGTCCGGATTCTGCGCGATGAAGGTCTCATTGCCGATGTAGAGAATCGAGCAGAAGCAGCAGCATCCGAGTTCCGCGAGCTCGTCAATGCGAAGCATCTGGACGTCGGCCTTGTCCCGGCCCTGGGTAGCAAGCCAATCCTCCAGCTCAACCATCTGCACGTTCTCTAGGCCGATGCCGGCGTCAATATCCCCCTTGATAATGGCACCGGAGACGTTCATGCCGCAGCGGACGGCGGTGTAATCGGCGGGAGTCAGGCCGTAGTGCGAAGTGAGCTCATCGATCTGAATCTTGCCAAACTCGCCGACGTAGCCGATACGCTTGCCCTTGAGGGACCTAAAGTCGGCGGTGATTCCGGAATCCTTGAGGTAGACGACGCCGGTGAAGGGTTCGTCCAGAAGGCTGCCAATCGAGAGGACAGGGAAGTTACGGGCTTTGGCCTGTTTGAAGTATTAGCACTTGACCATCTTGTGAGCAATCCCCGGCTGAGGGTTGCGAATCTTACAGCAAGAGTGTGAATCATGGCCTTGAAACCAAGGTCAACTTTGCCGCTGCCGATAATTTCGGTTACGTCCTGCCATGCTCTGTTAGCCAGTGCCCGGGAACTGGCACATTGAGACCGCATGAATTACGCTGGGGTCGTTGGGCTCCAGGAGAGCCACCTGGATGCCCTCTTCTTTGAAGAACCCTTTGGCCTGGGCAAGGTAAAGCGGTGCATGGTACGGCGTAGCGTGCCTGTATTGCGTCAGCGGTTGACACGACAAGCTTCGGCATACATGAGTGATTGGAGCTTACCAGTTGGTGAGGAAAGTTATCTTATCCGCAGACATGTTGGCGCAACACGAGCAAAGCTGCGAAAGATTAGTTGATCTTCAATAAGAGGGGAAGGGGTCCCAAGAAGCCAATCCTTTCGCTGGTATTATCCAGATCAAGTTCGCCGGTATTTCTCAGACCAATAGGTACCGCCGCAGTTGGCCCATCGTATCAAACCCATTCAAGACCTTTGAATACAAGGCATGAAAGAGCGATAAGAGTGAACGAACTGTGGCGAAACCAACATGGACACCCGGTAGCTGTCTTGTCTACTTTACCTCGATCCTGGAGTTCCCATTGTAATAGGTGTTATGGCTTTTCGGACGCTGGTCGCGTACCAATGGTATAGCAGAGTCAACTGTCGATACGGACTGATTCAGGAGCGGAATGTCGAGTTGTTTGGGGGGAAAAGGCAAGGTTACCCCTCAATGCGGGTGCTCGAGTTATATACGTAGCTTCCATACTACCCCCGATATCGGGCCACGACTGATATGCAGTGGGCAAAGGCGGATGACGCCATTGCCATAAAGACGAGTGGTGGAAGAATATCGGTGGGACGTCGGCGTGCCGTCCCTCGCTGTTTCATCATGGCGGGGCACTAATAGCCGCTTTCAGGATCGCCATCCGATTCTCCCCGTGTCCTGAGCGATGTGGCCTTAGCGTTTGCCTTTACGTACTGACTCACCAACCCATCTTCTCGTGTCCCGAGCTGTTCCATAGTCGATCAACGTCCGCTCCTCGAACATTCGATTCCCTTGATATCTATGGCTGTCAAAGCTTCGCATCCCGCCTTGTATCAGCAACCCCCCTTACCCTCTCCATCCCCGCTCTGAGAATTCAGATCGAGGGTCCCGTAGTTGCCATACAAAACTCCTTCCCGAAAGATCTTGGCATACTAATCCTTTGTCCGTGGTGTTTCCGCAGCCGGCCGGCCCGAAGATCGCCAAACTAGCTACAAGTAAGACTAAGAGCCAGCTATAAGTATGAGGCTTTTTCATTTGGTGCAGGCTAAGGGGCGGGGCTTCGTCAACGCGTGCGTCAAACATTCCTCCGGCACTTTACATCTCCGGAGAACATGCAGTCCTTGACATCGTAGTGCGATACGGACATGCCACTCTGCGTGACGTACACGGGCCAACCGAGCCACCAGCTAAAAAGAGGCAAGGCTGTCACGGCTGTGTACCCATCAGGCCAGGGTAAGGCTCACGCATGCCATCAGGTGGGACAGGCTCACGGTCGACACTAAAGTGAGCCATGCTCACGCAAGTGAGCCAGAACCATGATGGTGAGCCAGACTCATGGAGCTATAGGAAGGAAGTATAAGGGACGACTGGAGAACTCAGATTGTCAGATGGTTCTGCAGTAGTCAATCAAATCATTATCAGTGAGACTTGTATAACGGTACCATACTTGTCGTGAACCTTTTGCTTCACCGAACGTCTTCTGATAGTCTTCACCTTCAGCTATCCCATTTAGGCAGATCAGACTCAGCGTTGTAGACAAGCCAAAGTAAACAAAGCAAAGAATAAAGCAAAGCAACAAAGTAAAGCAAGGCCGCGGAGAAGACGAGCAAATATTGCTCTCGTTTGTTTGGCTTCCATTGCAAGGAATTATGACGGGTATTTCCGTCGGACTAGGGTGCTTTTTTTGCCGTGAATCTCGGGGTTTTGCAGGTTCGGTGATCTCGACTCTTTCCGTCAAACGAAGTATGAAAAATCTGCTCCCGCCGGCCCGTGAGGAGGCTGTATAGTATTTTGATGGTGGTCTGGTACAAGAATAGTTTATTTGAAACTTGGTGATGGCTTTATCGTATTGGTATGTTTTCTTACGTCTTGTTTATTACGGTCGTTTTTGTTGTGTAATGGTGTCGATACGGCTAGTAGAAGTGTGTAAGTACGGTATTGTGAAGTTTGTAAATACAATAAAGCAAAGCAAATCTGAAAAAAAAACAAGTAAATATCTTCTGTTCATGACAAATCAAAGCAAATCTTACCCTCCTTCGCTTTGCTTTGCTTTGTCTGCATCGCTGATCAGACTGCCGTTCGTCACACAATGAAAACGGTTCAAGCAACGGCGGGGGCGTTTTTGGATGAGTCATCGAAACCCATGTCGAATCTACAAGAAACGACTCCCATAGCTAAGCCACCGATTAGTGGCTTATCTATGGGAGAGCGGACGGGATCCCGAGTTTTCCACTATCTATGGCCGTATGTGCCCTTTTACTGCGAAAGGTACTCTTATAAGGCCCACATGAAAGTTTCGGATAAGCTTTTGGGAATTGGGTTGCCGTCAACTTGGCGTTGCGTTTTCGAGGAGCCAAACATCTGATGTCGATGCTACCCCTCATCCGATCAAACAGTCAACAGCAGAACCGTCCTCATTCGCGGCCCTGTCCTTCTCTGCGGTTTTCGTTCTGCCGCTCTCTTCCGCCACATCGAGCCCTTGCTCTGAGCCATTGTGCCTGTCGGCGCCCGCTCTCGAAATGAGCGAGATCAAGCCTTTGAAAGACCTCCACTCAAGGAACAACCTCCCGGAAACGGACTATGTGGCTGGCCATGTTCTGTGTGAGCGCTGCTCTCGGATCCGCGACAAGTCCGACATACTCAAAGGTCTCGCCGGCGATGATTACCAACCGGGGGTGTTCTTCCACAGCCGGAATCTACGACAGCTCCTTGAGTCCAGTGCTGCTGGATGTCATCTCTGTACGATACTGTTTCAAAGGATTGACCTCGGACGAGTTGAACACCAAACAGATGATGGTGGCGGCATTGTCGCCAGATGTTGGAGTATGCCTCTTCCATCCGCTCCTTCCGAGGTCTTTTGCATTTCACTCCGGCGATTAAACCAAAATGGGCAGGCAGCAACTCACGCAGAAGGCGACTACTCTCGTATAGAGGGATTACTGGTGGCCGGTGATTACAATGTGTTGACTTACCCAAACGACATAGGCGAAGCGTGGATCAGTGAAATTGATGGTACCAAACGCTCCCAGCATTCCTTCGATCATTCCCTTGGTTTGGTTGAGACCCGTAACTGATTAGATGCGGTACGGAATTAGATCAGGACATTCTCTTCCCTCGTCCGGAGACGAGCTCCGGGCGACTTCTACCAACATCAACTGGCTCGCCTGAAATGATGGATGTGGCGAGGTCCTGGCTGCGTCGATGTCTTCATGATCACCCTCAATGTCGCCCCCTAAATTTCTCAGCGGCAGGCGCAAGACCTGGTAGCAAGAGACTGCCTACCCGGCTCGTTGACATTGGCGAAGAACCTGGGCAACTAAGGCCTCGTCTTGTGCTTCCCTCTGCTACAGCAACCATGGCAGATATACAGTATCTTACCCTCAGCCACGCATGGTCTGTCACTGTTGATGAATCCGCCTTGAAGCTTTCGACGAATAAGCTCAAAGATTTTCAGAATGATATACCGCTGGAAAGACTGCCTCAAACGTTCAGGGATGCGATGACAGTTACCCAACAACTTGGCTACAGGTATATATGGATTGATTCTCTGTGCATCATTCAGGACTCAACTGAAGACTGGGAGAAGGAGTCCGTCACTATGTGCGATGTCTATGGGAGATCCATTCTTACTATTGCCGCTTTAGGGATGAACGGGCTGGATAGCTGCTTCAGCCGCAGGAATCCTCTCGCCCTTACCCCGTGCTATCTGGGCGAGCTCCAGAAAGGCGTCTACGCCTATGCAGCTCTCCACAAAAACCGCGTGCGCCTTATGGAATCTCTCACGCAAGAAGGGGCGCGCCTTCCCTCACGTGGTTGGTTCGTCCAAGAGAGGCTCCTCTCACCACGGACTCTTTATCTGGGCGCTCCCGAGCTATACTGGGAATGCGCAAGCGAGACTCGGTGTGAGAGCGTTCCGAAATTCAATGGGCCCATGTCCATTCTTGGCTACTCGTGGCTTTTCCAAGAGAAAGTTAGATTCCACACGCTTTGCCGCTTGTCCACTTCTCTCAATAACGATGTAACAACTGCCACGCCAACGAAAAGTAGTAGTACCTGGGGCGAACATGCAATCACAGGCAATGACGACAAATCTAAAACCGACTTGTTATACCACTGGGCGGAGATTCTTCGGTCCTATTCCGCAAGTCACCTAACGTACAAGGAAGATCGGCTTGTAGCCTTTGCGGGCATTATCGAGGCTGTCCAAAAGGGAACCGGTTGGACGCCTGTTGCTGGAACTTGGAAGGAACTCTGGCCTTTAGACTTGTTGTGGTTCTTCCCTGAGGAGGAGCCTGATGATGATGAATCTCGGAGGAGGAGGAGGAGGAGAGTGCCCAGCGGACTAAAGACCCCTTCATGGTCATGGCTCACGCTTGAAGGGCCAAAGAGCTTCCCAGCTATTAGGGTTACTTCTTGGTTAAACTACTGTCTAGCACAAGTTATCGAGTCAACGACAACAACAATACCACAGCCCGTTACTATGAGCAAGCATCATCATCGTAGTGGGGGAGTGGAGGAGAAGGAAACTATGATTACGTTAAAAGGCTACGTGAGAAGGGCAGTATGGGTTGATGGCAGGATCAAGGAAACCCAAGGACCTTTCAATTCGAGTGGCGGAGGATCGGGATCGGTACTTCATGGTGACGAGGCCACTTCATCATCATCATCTTCCACCCAGTTATTATACTGGGACTCCGGCCATCCACCCGCCGGCGGGGAAGCATTTCTTTTTCTGCTGATAATGTCCTACAAAAACCGCGTTCTCTCGCCGCACAGTCTTAACGCGCATTACTACGGGTTGATATTGACTTTGAGCGGCGCTCACTGCTGCGGGGACGGAAAGACAAAAACACAAGGCAATCACCTGCGTCATTATAAACGGGTGGGCATTTTCAAAGAAAGCTTTTGTCGCACGCCAACAACAACACAAAATGAAGAAGGAGATATGGATGCAAGAACAAGATTTGATGAAGGGGCGCAAGAAGAAGTTATTACTATTTGTTGAACTGGATTGAGTGGCTAAGTAGATCAACAAGGCTTGGTGAAGTATTCTAGGTAGTGGTCACCCATCTAAAAAAGAACTTATTATTACCCATCATTTGGATGCGAACGTATGTAGCAAAGAACACAAAGTCAAATCAAAGAAAGCTCAAAAGTTCAGCATCAAATCTTGTATGTATTTCATGCCTGCCATGACCGGCTCTAAAAAATCTAGGCCATCCGTCTTTCAAAAACCAACAAAGTTAAAAAAGTAAACTCCCGTTGGTATCGAAATCCCCAAATTGCCTTGCCTGCCTGCCTGTCACCAATATTCCCTTGAACGCCAACCAAATGTGTGCAAGTACAATGTGAAGAAAAAAAGAAAAAGCAGAAAGTATGTGCAGCGCAGTTGTGATGTTTGTTGTTGTGGTGGTCGTCCTCCACTAGGACTTGGGTTGTCCCCTTGTCCCCTTTGTCGGCTTCGAGTTGTTGCCGCTGATGTTGCACAGATCAGATCGTATCAGAGTAGATCTGATATGGGAACCTGTCTGTACCCGATCGGCTCGGCTCGAAGCCCCGAAGTTGTGTCATGTCGTGTCGTGTTCCCTGAAGAGATTGAGAAAAGCTCAAAGCTCAAAGGCTTAGATGTGACCATCAAGCAAAGTCTTGGCAAGCAAAGGCCAGCCAAGAATGGAGCCGGCGACGATGGGGAAGCTGTATTAATCGATCACCAAACAGTCAGCTTCTATTCTTTTCTCCTCAACCAAAATACCAAAGAATTATTGGGAGTAACTTACACAGCAGCCTGACCAGCGACTCTCTTAAAGCTAGCACCCCAGTCGGCACCAGCAGCGCCCGTCTGGGTGGGGATGCGCTCGTAGGGGGTGTGCAACTCCATCTTGCGAGCCCACTGGCGCATGGACTGGATGACGGAGAACTGGCGGGTGCCTTGGACGGCAGCGCGGGAAGTGGCCTTGGTGGCGGCGCGGAAGGCGGAGCGAGCGAGGATGGGGGAGACCATTTTGATTGTTTTGAGGGGTTGTGGTGTTACTCTAAAAAGGTATTGAGTGAAGTTGTGGTTGTTGTGATGTTTCCGAAAATGGAAAAGTGGTTGAGTGAGTTGAGTGGTTGTTGTTGTTGTTGTTGTTGTTGTTGTTGGTGGTGATGAAGAAGGTTGAGGAGAGTTGTTTAGTCCTGAGATCTAAGAGATCTATTGATTGCTTTTGATGGCTGTTGATGCTGATGATGATAGAAAAGAAAAGAGGGTATCACAAACGTCGTTGGACACGATCCTCTTATACCAACTTTCCCTTCTTGATTCCGTCAACACCAACACCAAGATCCCGTATGTACATCGCGATCTCTCCCGAACTTCCCAAAGAGACGGGTCCAATCCCAACTGGACGGCACCGAAGAACACCCATTCAAGCAGTCATCTCAACCAAAACCGCATCATGCTGGATCACGATGGTCCCATCCTCCATCCAGAGTTGTCCAGAATCTCACCACTCTGCATACCTGCCTCCCGGGTTCTGTTCGTGCACCGCACATCTAATCCTTATTGTCAATCAGTCCAGACAGAACAAGCGAACAGGCCAAATCATACCACCAGCCCTCCCAAAACGGTCCAAAACACCAGATGCCAAGCCGCCCCCCTGTCCCCATGTCCCCCTAAGCTCCCAGGTGTGCCAGGCTGCTCAGCCCTACGAGTTAATGGAATGAACCAACAAGATGAGACGTAATTGCCCCAGACTCTTCCCTGTCACCCTGTGACCTGCTGAACGATCCAGGCTTTCAGGCTTTCCAGCGAGAAACGACTGAAAAGGGAACGAGGAGTGAACGACACGGGAAGGGAATGGCACCATCTGGCACTGAGTCTCGGCCGGTCGTGGTGTGATCGGGGGAGTCCGACTTTCTTGGTCTAGCTATGATTGGGTAGAGTCAACAAAGGGGAGTGGGGCGCGGAGGATGGCCGTTGGAGGCGAACGGTAGCAGGGGTGGTGATTGGTGCAGTTGGGAATGGGTATGGATGGAAGGGCCTGGATCGTTGTTGCTGATCTGGGTTTGGGTTTGGGTTGAAGGGCGGGATGGAACATCTTCAGCTGATAGCGCTGACAGGCGGGAATGAATGGCGATACAAAGGCGATGACAGGAATAACTTGGTTCCCGTCCGGAGTCTGGATGTTTCTCCGGATGGCGGGTGGCGGATGGCGGATGGCACCGGCGGGCGGTCCCTGACGATGGGATTTGGGAAAACGACGAAACCTAACCGAGATACTATCTAGGGAGAGAAACGGTTGTGAGTTTTCCCGGAACATGACGGCGAATTGCACTGTTTCGTTGCCGTTTGGCATCTGACATTATGACAACGGGAACTTGCGATGACACCAGCACATGTCTCAGATCCGGCCACTGCCGCTTGCTGTCATCCTTGGTCCAGCCCGGGATCCGAGTTGACCACGCACCACAAACTTTGATCCGAGTTCTGTCGTCGTTCACAACAACAACTCGCAACCCAGACAGACAAACGCGGACAAATACGGAACGAAGCCATCATGAGATTTCTCGGTTCTTCCCGGATTGAGCGGAGCCACGCAAACAGCGGCGACGGACCACCCGACATCCGGTCCTAAAAGCGGAGCCCGTCGGCGCCGGGTATCCACACGTCAGCCGATCGGATCTCGTCCGCTAAGCGCGATATATACGGAAGTATCCGGAACGATGACAACCCGGAAGAAAGATAAACGCGGCGCGGCTTTTCGACACTTCTGTTCTGATTTTGAACTTTAAAACTTCGAACCTGAAAAGTCCGGAAAGAGCGAGAGGTATCCATCCCTTCTTCCGAAGCAGTGAGTGGCCCCCGGATTCTCAGACGGACTTGGGTAAACGGAAAAAAAAAAGACAATTGTTCGGCAGGCATCTCGTACGATCATCAGCATCTCAGGACGCCGACCGTAAAAGAACACTCAAAGGAACGCTTCAGAAATCGGAAAATTGGGATGATGAGGGGTATCACAAGTTTTTCTTTTTTTTTTGTGCTCAGTTTTCTCCAAGTTCTAATCCATCCATCCCCATCTCTCCCAAACCGCCTTTTCACCTGTTTGCCTCCTACTACCTCCCTTTCCCTTTCCCTTGCCTGATCAGGCCCGACGGGAAGTACTGCAAAACTGTGAGAGCCTACCGGCACTACCCCATTCCTCACACCCCTTTGCTGCTCCCTTTCGGGCCCAGAGGTGCTACAGAATGGAGTGAAAGCTCCTCTAAGCCTGAGTAACCGTAGTCCCATCCGCCGGCTCCAACAGCTCCCACCTGCAGGTGATGTTGTTGGACTTGAACTCCTCAATGATCTTCTCGGCAATCGTCTCAAAGTTCTCGGTCGCCAGCGCGAGGATGGTGGGTCCCGCGCCGGACAAGCAGACGCCCAACAAGCCGGGCTGCGTGGCGGGCGTCATGGACTCAACGATCTTGGTCAGGCCGGGGATCAGGACCTGGCGGTAGGGCTGGTGCAGCTTGTCCTGCATGGCCAGGTTGATGAGCTCCGGGTCGGGAGGGGACTGGCCGAGGGCGACGGGGAGGAGGGCTATCCTTTGGAGGTTGAAGGTCTGTGTCATAAAGTTAGTATGGGGGTGGTAGATAGATGACGATGAAGGAAGGGGGAAGAAAAGAAAAGACATACAACATCCGCACGGGGATACTCGGCGGGAAGAACCTCGCGAGCCTTGGCGGTGGGAACCTCGAACTCGGGGATGATGGCCACGGCCTTGATCTCGGGAGCCCAGGGGAACTTGATGTGGTGGCCGATGCCGTAGGGAGGCGAAGGGGGCTTGATGCCGGTGTCGACACCGCCGGCGGGGGCGGGAAGGACCTCGCTGAGGGGGATCTCAGTGCGGGCGGTCTCTTCGGGGGTGAGGGGCTTGAGGTAGGTGCCGACGAAGCCACCGAAGAGGGCGGCGCCGACGTTGTCGGGGTGACGCTCTGTAGTTTTTGGTTAGTGATTTTTTTTGGGTTCAAAAGGTGGATGAGTGAGTGAGTCAGTATAAGTGACTCACCAATCATGAGGCAGTAGTCAAAGAGACGCTCGGGAGTGAGGTCATGCAGACCGCCGACCTCCTTGCCAAGCTGGACACCGGCGACGACAGCGGCACCGGAGGAACCCAGACCTCTTCCGAGGGGGATGGGGTTCTTGATGTGCACATGAGTCTCGACGGGGAAGCTGCGCTGGTCGTTGCAGCGGAGGACGTAGAGAGCCACACGGGTGATAAGGTTGACCTCGGGGTTCAAGCTGATATCCTCCTCGCCCTGGCCCTCGTAGGTGATGCGGCAGTTAAGCGGCTGGTCCGAGGTTGTCTTGGAACGATCGATGGTGACATGGAGCTCCAGGTACATGGACAAGGCCAGGCCAATGACGTCGAAGCCGGGGCCGATGTTGGCGCTCGAGCAAGGCGTCTTGATGACGAACTTTTCGATCTGCTGCTGGGAAGACGCCATTGTGACTGATCCGACTGAGGTCGAGATAAGGGAGTCGGAGTTGTGAAAGTGATTTACTACTAGGGGTTGAACCCAGTGGTGACGATAGTTTCACAGAAAGAAAAAAAAAGGGGTGATGGATGACGAAGTAAACAAGTCGGCCCTGCTTATCCAATGCCAAGAACAGAAGCGGTCTTTGTGAGATGCGTCACGTTCACACTTGAAATTTTGTTGAATTTCAATTGATTCCCATGTCCACTGATTGACGGAGGGAAGGTTCCCCGATTGCGGAGCGGAGCCCGGCGGGCAGTGGGCGAGCAACGATGACTCTACAGTGCCCACTTGGCCTTATGGAGCGCGGGGTGTTCCACCTTTTAGGGTTCGGTCCACTGGCCTAAACCCCTGACTTTTGTTTCTGCTAGGTTCGTTTCTTTTTTTTTTTTTTTTCAACACGGTCATCAAGGTTCTTCTTCTGACTTGAGTCAACATTAATGTTAGCATAGTAACGAGGGTCGGTATAACTGTGTTTCACGCGATGGGAACAGGTGTTTTGACAGTCATATACCTTTCATCGATGATCTTTCTTTGTTTTCGTTAAGATGGAGTGTCCGAAGTAGTATCAAAAGATATTGGAGAGAGAAAAAAAAATGCACTCAAGAAACCCTGTCTTGTCTGAAGGAACTGTTCCGTATCAGTGCGATAAGTACGTGATAGTTTGCCCCTAGACTTAGTTGCGGTTCGTTGTCTTTCATTTATTACTTAATTCTAAAACTTTGAAGGCCCCGCTGCTACCCACTGCTGGTACAGCATGCGGGCTTTCATCTATCCTTTCTTTTGGTGATAATAGTCTCTATCTTCGAATTATGATGCTTTTCATCCCATTTCCAAACACTCCTATTCCATCCTGCAGATGTTTCAGAAGAGGGCCCCTTAAAAGCATAATGGGACTGCTGTCTGACAGTGATCTTTGTTCATCACGCCCCTACAATGGGGACAGATCCCGGTCTTCTTTCTCGGTGCTCGACAAATCTCCGCCATCTCCTACAGTGGCGACCCCGCCGACGCATTTGAGAACGCCCTTCTCAACCCAACACCAGCTGCTCTTTTTTTGGGGTTAGGAGTGGTGACAGCCTTGTCAGCCGGATCAGCTCTTTCAGACTCACCACCATTGATAGTGGTTCCCGTAGAGGCGGTTGAGAATGTCCTCTTCAATCCGCCACCAGTTCTTCTTCCCTTTGTAGTCGTAGTTGTTGCTGTCGCTGTCGCTGTCGCTGTCCTAGTGGCAGTACCGCTACTTTCATTCCCCTTCCCCTTTCCAGCCACAGGCTTCATATCTTGCAATGTCTTGAGCATGTCCACCCATGCCGGGTTGTCTAGCACTTTATCCGGTAACGTGTCCTCAAGAGTCTCCGGTGGCCCTTCAGCCACCCGCTGTCTATGCATACTCCGAGCAGCTTTGCCGAAGTTTGCTTTGCGTCTACCGCGGGCTTGGATCTCCTTTTGCTTGGCTTCAAACCATTCTTGCGAGTGTCGCTGTGGCCAGTGTATCCGGGGATCGATGTGCGCAAAGAGAGGCTCGTCTGAAACGGGTGGTTGAAGAGGTTTTGTTGGTACCGTTGGTAAGGTTGCCGTTACCACTGCTCCTGCTGCCGCTGCTGCTGAAGCAGATAAAAGACTTTGCTCATATGTTGAGACGGTTGACGTTGTATGAGGTAGGAGCGACTTGGTTGGCTTCGGCTGCGTTACCGGTGTTGGTGTTTTCTTTGGCGGCGCGTTGGCCTGTTGGTGTGGACTAGGCCGAGTTATCGGTTGGACTATGGGTTGAGGTATTGGTTGAGGTTTTGGTTGAGGCTTCGAGACCGGCTCAGGTACAATTTCCTGCTCGGTGTCTGGAGGAACCGATTCGCGGGCTGGCTCCTCTTGCTGTGACTTTTGATTCTGATGTGATGCTGGCCTCTCCGCCTGTGGCTCCTGCTGCGTCGGTTTTGGGTCTGGTGCCAGTTCCGGTGGAGGAGTTGATTCTGCCTGAAGCTCTGGCTCTGAATATTCTCCAGGGTCCGAATCCGAATCCGATCCGGAATCAGATATGACGATCGGCTCATGTATGTTGGTCACTATGGGTCGTGGCCTGGGCTGAGATTGCTGGGGTCTTTGTGGAGGAAGTGGTCTAGGTTGCCCAACTCTTTGATCTGGATTATTTGGAAACGTCGACCCCTGGAGTAAGTCTTGACCGCAAGGATCCGGACGAGGCTCTGCGATATTTGATTCGGGCCCATTCACAGTAGAATGGGTGCACATGGACCCTCGTATCAGCCCTGCTGGAGGATTATAGCCCGCGAGATCAAATGCACTTCTGGCATAGTGCACAGCACGTCTATCTTCCATAGACATATAATTACTGCTCTGGCCGTTCGGCATCATAGCTTGCAAGTTCAATATGCCTCCAGGTGAGTTCTGCTGGTGAGTTCCGGGATGAGAGTTGTTCTGCGGCGCTTGGTTCTGAGCGGGGGTCGACCTTCCATAGGTTGCTGAGGAGCATGCACAGCCGAGCGACTGCAGGCCGCATCTTGCATCTCATCAGAAAATCTCATCTGTCGTATCCTCCTCGGTGGGAGCCCGGGGTTTGACGATTGTGTTGAACCATCTTGGCGCTCACCCAGTAATTGCTTTTCAGCCGATAGACAAGGGGCGTCAATAGCCATGTTGGTCTGCTGCGTAGATTTCTGGGATTTGGATTCTGATCGAGCCTTGACGCCCGTCTCAGGCCCGTTGACTCGACTTCTGTCAAGAGTGTTGGATGAAGGCGATAAACCCGAGCTCTTGGTAGGTGGCCCACCTTTCGAAACTGACTGAGAACTGATGTCTTTGGCCAAAGGTAGAGAGATGGAATCTGCCGTGGTAGAAGAGAGGGACTTGGGTCTAAGTGAAGAAGACCCAGTTGACGTCGAGTTTGAGTTTTGCGCTAAGGAGGTAGAACCTTTATGCGTGCCGGGTCCAGGTTTGGGAGTCCGTCCGTTTAGGTATGGGTCTTTGCCGGCGGTTTTACGCCTAACAATATTTCCCGGCAAGAGTTTTGACTTTGTGATGGGAAAGGGCGAAGAACGGTTCCTAACCGGACTTATCTGCTGAGGATTTGGTGCGCAGCCTTGTGGACTTTGTCTAGCAGCATCGGCAATTTCAGTCTTGCTGTGAGCCTGGGACGGTTTTCCAGCGCCAACTTGACCATCACCTGAATGTGAGGTGATGATTGAACGAGAGGATGATGATGGCTGTACTGATGACCTTGAGGAAGTAGCAGCCTCATTAGATTCCTCAGAGACAGGGGTGGCCAGGTCGATGGGTAGTGGTACTGGAAAAGACTTTAGATGTCGGGCACAAAAGATATTAACTGAGGGTGCCTCGCATTGTGGAATAGAGCAGGGGATAGGGCGAGTAGGCTGAGTGTTGTCGGTCGAGGAAGAGGAGACAGAGTAGCCCATCGCTGAGGACGGCCTTCCAGGGAGACCGACGGTAGAGGCGGCGGAGAGACGGAGTGAGGTGCTTGACGAGGCTGAACGTAGAGATAATGACGACCTGGCATGGTAATGATGGCGTCGTGCTGCCTCTTGGCTATCCACTATACAGCGATGACATGTCCAGTCACTGTATATAATAGTGAGTGGTTAGTATACCCAAAAGAGAGAGACAAGCAAGAAAATGACGCGGTAGACAGCTAGTCTTTTCTTTGGGAAGTGACGGATCGGTTGTCAAGTTTTGTAACAGAGTGCATGGTGAGCTTCTTTTGAAGCTGATTTGCGAACAAGGTGAGACGAGTGTGAAGTGACTATGTTGTCCGTTGTGCCAATTCGCAGATAGAGAGGAGGAAGGAGCAAAATAAATGAAAAGTAAATAGGCAAGTGGAAGCTTTTGATTGGCTACGAGTGGGCCCGCCCAAATCTTTTACTATTTACTGCAAAGCCTCTGTCAAGAACACAACAGTGACTGATGCATTGGTTGTCATCTCATTCCTGGAATTTTTGTGGCTAGTTTCATGCTGACTGTAGCGACGGTGAAAATGTGACTGGGATTGATAAAGAAGCGAGTTGAAAACACGAGTGAAGACCGACAAGAATGGAAGTACAAAAAGAAGATAAGAAAAAGAAAAGACCTACTTTGACCGGCTGGGATGTGGAATATGGCATGCGGAATGATAACTTCTACCACAACTGATGCATTGGAACAATGGTCTTGTAATACTGGCTTCCTTTTTGCAATATCTGCAACGAGAACGCATCGATCAGGTCGTGCCTAAATAAGTCCGAGGCGCCAGGCGTGGTCACCTTGGGCTTTCTTAATATACGGGTTCTCGAGGGGATATAGAATATTGGTCTAGACGTCTGCAAGGGACATCTAGAGTAAGCAGGATGTATAAGTTGTCCTATGAAAACCCAAAGACTTTTTGTTAGCAGGCCAATCCCAGGTTGTGAACCATGAAAACAATAATCTCAGAGGCCAAGAGAACCATATAAGGGGTAGTGTTGGTATAGTCCTTGTGATAGGACAACACAGGCAACTTGCGTCTCAGGTCTTTTCAGTTTTTTCCTATGAGTCCTCATCCAGACCAGCCACAACGGTTTCATGATTCTGAGGTAACGGGACGGGAAGACCACGATCAAATCCGGGTACTCTCCCCATGTCTTTCCTGTCCCCCACTGCCTTTGGCCCGGCTTCATAGAGCAGTTGAGAGCCAGGCTCCTGGAAAGTGGAAGTAGCCTCTGTCAACAGAGACTCCAGAGAGAGCTCCGGACAGGCAGCTATTAGATGTATCCAACCGCCAAGCCTGTCGTGCTGCCGAGAGTCTCAGGACAGCACGAGGAGTGGGCAAATGATCTGGCAGCGGACGCGCGCTCACATGGAGTGAGGCGCCGAGAATCCCTATTGTACCTGCAGAACCATGACCCCAGGAGAGCTATCGGTCGTCGGACCTTTTACCAATTGCTCATCATAGACGCTGCCGTGTGAAAGTGAGAGAGTAAGGAAAAGATGAAGGCAAGCTTACCTGATGTGAGATGACTGGGAATGCTCCCTATACCAATAAAACGCAGTCAATGTCAGAGTACACATAGACACCAGGGCTTCTCTTGGTACTCAACCCGACCTCAACCTTGCGTCTCTCCCGCTTGAGTAACCAAACCCCGCCTGCCGGATCCCGGGTGCCATCCAGAGCCGCTTGAAGGAGCTTTCTTGCTTAGGCCATGCGAGGAACCAACATCGGTGATTTTGACCATCGACCAGAGACCCAGAAATCGCGGAGGCAAGGTTGAGGGCTTGTGATGTGTTGCTGAAGTTTACTGGTCATGAATACTTGATTTAAGTAAAAATAAACAAAAGAAAGGGAGGATGTTGTCAGTGGACGGAAGATGACGAGGGAAAGACCGTGGAGTGTGGACCAAAAGACATCCTAGTGGAGCCCAACTTCCCATAAAATCCGCCTGGTCTTTCCTTCCCGAACCGCCAAACGCCAACGGGGCAACACCCGCCGCTAAAAGTGAATCGTGCACGGACCCTCGACCTAACAATCGAGGTTGTCGTGGATTCTGTGGGAGTGCTAGGGGCCACCCTGGCCTGCAAGCTGCCTGTAGCTCGCTAGCGTCGGTGTTTGCCCGCCGAACCAGGCAACTTCTAGAGCGGCGCTGCCTGCAGGGCCATGAATTCGCGATGACCTCCTTGGACATGTGCTTTGCGACCACTTGCATCCCACCACCCCTTTTCCCCGACTCGACTCTCCAGACGGCCAGAATCTTGCTATACGGCTTCACCCATGATTAAGGACACGATTAAGGACAGTTAGACGACTACAGCACAAGTCCCCGGCCATGGACTTCCTCAAATCGGCTGTCGCATCAGCCATCGCAAAGGGGCCTGCATTCCCCTATACCTTTGGCGACAAGGTCGATTTCGACCCCTCCATCTGGACCCTTTACAACGGAACTCGACGCGTACGTGCCCGTCTTCTCGTTACACCCTTCTTCTCCTACCCGAGGAACACAAGAGCTCGTCAGCTAATCTGTCTGGTGTTTCCAGGAGGACGGGTCCAACTGCAGCATCTTCTCCTTTGAGATTTCTTCCAACCGATCCGCGCTGCCCCTAGCCAAGAATGCGCTCAAGAAGCTCCGAACACTACGACATCCCGGCGTCATCAAGGTCTTGGATACGGTTGAGGTAGGGGGATCTATGCCCATGGAACGTGGTGGTTGCTTAAGCTGAGCTTTGCGCAAAAGACAGACTCCTACATCTACATTGCCACGGAGCGGCTAGTTCCCCTAAGCTGGCACGTCAAGAGGAAGAGCCTCAGTCCCGAGACCGCAAAATGGGGCCTATACAGCGTTGCGGTATGATTCCCATACCTTAATCTGGCCCGTTAGGACCAACAGCTGATCCCGGGCCTACAGAAAACCCTCAAATTCATCAACAGTGACGCATCCTCGATACACGGCAATCTCAAGGTCGCCTCGATATACACATCCGAAAGCGGCGAGTGGAAGCTTGGTGGCTTTGAAGTCCTTAGCAATGTCAAGGACGACGATGCCTTGATATACGTACGTTTTCCATATACAGCACAGGCACTCGGGAGAATTTGCGGCGCTAACGTGCCAAACAGAGATACGGCAGTGCTGTGCCAGACTCAGGGAGATACACTCCTCCAGAACTCGCAAACGGGGGGTGGGATGCCATCAAGAAGAGCCCCCACCATGCGGTCGATTCGTATGATTACGGCATCTTGATTTACGAGGTCTTCAACGGCAGTTTTCTGGGGTCAGACCAACTAGCACAGACTAAGAGCATCCCGCCTAGCATGCAGGCCAGCTATAAGCGGCTCATCAACGCCAATCCCAAAGCAAGACTCAGTGCTGCCCACTTCCTCGAACAAGGACTACGGACTGGATCCTTTTTCGACAGCCCATTAATCAAGCTTACAGAGGGAGTTGACAACTTGGGAGTGAAGTCGGAAACCGAACGCGAGGCCTTCCTGGAGGATCTCGACCAACTTTCAGACGACTTTCCTGAAGATTTCTTCAAGATGAAGGTCCTACCGGAGCTACTCAAGTCTGTAGAATTTGGTGGCGGTGGTCCTAAGGCCTTTGGCGTAGTGATGAAGATTGCTACAAAGCTATCGAACGAGGACTTTGACACAAAGGTTACTCCTGTCGTAGTTCGCTTATTCGGAAACCCCGACAGAGCGATCAGGGTGTGTTTGCTGGACAATCTGTCGCTCATGATCGACAGGCTACCGCAGAAAGTGGTGAACGACAAGATCTTTCCGCAAATAGTAAGTCTCAGCCTTGTTATTGAGCCCCTGTGCAGAAGTAGGGCACAAACAGAGCCTTGTGCAGTTGATACTAACAACGAACACCTTTTTCAGGTTGCGGGTTTCACCGATCTCGCACCTATTGTGCGCGAGCAAACCCTCAAATCCGTACTAGTCATCATCACCAAACTGTCAGACCGTACCATCAATGGCGACCTGCTAAGATACCTCGCCAAAACCGCCAACGATGAACAACCAGGCATTCGTACCAACACCACAATCTGCCTCGGCAAGATCGCCAAGTACCTGGGAACATCCAACAGAGCCAAGGTCCTCATCGCCGCCTTCACCCGCTCTCTTCGCGACCCCTTTGTACACGCCCGCAATGCCTCCCTGATGGCTCTCGCCGTCACAGTCGAATACTTCTCCGATGAGGACTGCGCCGCCCGCCTAATACCCGCCGTCTCCCCCCTCCTCATCGACAAGGAGAAGCTCATCCGGGACCAAGCCAATAAGACCATCGACGTCTACCTCCAACGCATCCGCAAAGCCCAACAAGACATGCCCGAAACTGTAATACCCCCCGAAACTGCCCAGCCGCGGATGAGCACCCCTCAACCAGCCGAAGCCGCAGCCGCTTCCAACTCCGCTGGTTCCGGCGCCGTGGCCGCCGCCTGGGCGGGCTGGGCCATCTCCAGCTTCACCAACAAGCTCTCCAGCGCGGCAGGTGAAATGCAACCTAGCGGCGCACCCTCGCCCATTCCTACCGCTAGCGGACTATCCACGCCCACCTCTACCACCACGCCCAAGCGACCCACCTCGTCTTCTGCTTCGGCACTACACAGACAAGCCCTCAAGTCCCCACCACCGCCCACTACTCCATCAATGGGCGACTCCTTCTTCGCCGACCCCGAACCGCAAGAAGACGACGCAGACGCATGGGGAGATATGGGCGATATGGACGACGACACCGCAGCAGGAGCCGGTGATGATAACTGGGGCGCTAGCTCCGAGACTCTTTCTCGGCCATCGACATCAGCCAACAAGAGGTCGGTAAGCAGTAGTAGCAAACCTGCAGCACCCTTCGGCGGAGATGATGATGAACCGGATTTTGCGGGGTGGTTGGCGGCGCAGGCGGAGAAGAAGAAGAATCCCTTGACCGGTGGTGCAGCGAAGACTCTACCTAAAGGGCTGGCCAAAACGGGGACGACAGGGACGGCGAAGGTCGGGCCAAGTACGACGGTGGTGAAGAAGACGTTGCCTATTAGTAAGAAGCAGGCGCCTGTCAAGAAGATTGATACGAAGCCGAAGGCCGATGTGGATGGGGACGATGGGTGGGGTGATGGGTGGTAATCTAGGTAGTGAGATGAGGTGTCCAGTTAGAGGTTGGATGAGAGTATCGGAGGAGGGGGAAGGAATGGGAGGGAGAGGTGTCTTGGAGTTGAAGGTCGCAGGTCCTATATAGTTTATAATAAATGGGACGAAGGCAAAAGAAGCGAATTGTCCTGGTTCGGTATCATACCAGCATAGGTGGTTGAGATAAGCCTGTGACAATGATGGGATAATAGACAACTTGAATCTGCCTCGCCATGATGCTCGTACACAGTAAGATAGACGGGAGATGAAAGCGCAAATCGATTCTGTGACGGCAGCCTAAAAGCCATTACATCTTAAGGTCCGAGTTCCCAACAAAAGGATACACGTAACCGAAGCTGAAAGTTTCGCTACTCAAATGGTCTTATATAGTGGCCACAACCCAGGGCGTGTAACTGCATCACCACAGGGTTGTGACCGATTCTACCTAGGCAGATATATATACTGGATAGCAGCTCGGAGTATTAAATCATAAAAAGGGACGAAAGAGCTTTGCGTTAGTGCACCACGCTAGGGAGACGAAACATGCAACACCTTCAGCGATTGTCATGATGATCCTGGGTAGGCTTGAGATGGGATGAAACGCAAATTCGATTGCTTTTAGCTGTCTAAAACCGAGAACACCATAGAAATAAACAAAGATAGGTATATAAATGACACCGTAGTAACAAAACAAAAGACACAACACAACATTAAGCTCCGACCGCACAGAAGAAAGCGCGGCATGCTTTGAACCAGTTCTCTCGCTGTCAACCCGACCACCCCAAACAGACAAGTACCCTTCTTATTCTTTACTCGAAGGTAGTCTTCTTACCCTGGTGAGCAACAGGCGCACCAGTAAGTCTGGCAACGCTGATATCCTGGGCCGTCTTGATCTGGCCACCACCACCACCTTCCTTCTTCTGGTAAGGAGCTCTCTGTGGCCTGTCACCAACGTCCTGTCCTTGTTGTCCCTTCTTGCCAGCACCAGGGCCCTTGCCTCGGAACCGCTTCTCGTATCTCGTCTTGTCGTCCTCGGCCAGCTCGATCTTGAGGGTGCGGCCGTGTAGCTGGTTGACCCACCACTTGCGGGTCTTTATCCTTTTTTCCGTTTCCTGCTTGGGCTTCTTCTTTTCTGTGCTGTCGGCATCGGCATCGGCTTCCGCAGCAGCCTCGGCCTCGGCTTTTTGATCCTCGTCCATGAAATCCTCGAGTTCCGGAATCTCCTCGCGGATCTTGACGAACCCCTTCACCGCCCACTGCGCCGCCTCACCCTCCTCAAAGTTCACCCACCCGTACCCCTTGCACTTGCCGCTGTCCTCGAACGTGGCCACCTTGACCCACCGAATGGCACCGCACTTGTCAAAGTGCGCGCGCAGGTCGTCCTCGGTGGTGTCGAACGAGAGGTTGCCGACGAAGATCTTGGTCGAGCCCGCGAACTTGCCGCCTACTACCGCTTCATCCTCCTTCTTTGCCTCCTCCTCTTCCTTCTTCTTCTCCGGCCGTCCCTCGAACGACGTCGCGTCCTTGATCAACAACTTGCGCCTGTACCACTCCGTCTCGCTGAGCGCGATGGCCGCGACCTTGGTGGCCAGGGTGTCGAAATCGACGTAGGCGAAACCGCGGTTCTCGGGCTTCTCCTTCTTGGGCTGGCCGGGCTGCGCCTTGGAGGTGGGCATGTGGACGCGCGTGATGGACTCGGGCGTGATGGAGCCGCCCGAGTTCTCGACGAGCCATTCCTTCAGTTCGTTCTTGGTGACGGTGAAGCGCAGGTTGCCGATCCAGACGCCGTGCGGGGAGCGCTCCTTCTTTTCCTTCTTGGCCTTCTTCTCGCCATCCTTGCCGGTGGTTTCGCCTTCGGAGTCGGAGTCGTTGTCGGAAGACGGCTTGGTGGGAAGGGTCTTGCCCTTCTTGAGCAGACGCTTCTGTTTCTTGGAGGGAGGCTCGGGGGCCGTGACGTCGATTTCGATTTCGGTGATCTCGGCCTTGCGCTTCTTGGAGGACTTCTTGGGCTTCTCGTCGGAGGAGGCGGCATCGGCATCGGCATCGGCATCGGCGTCGGCGGTGGTGTTGGCAGACTCGACGGGCTTCTCGGTAGATTCGACGGGCTCGACGGTCTCGACGGACTCGGTAGACTCCTCGGAGGCCTTGCTCTTCTTGGAAGATTTCTCCTTCTTTTCCTTCTTCTCCTTCTTCTCCTTCTTGTCCTTCTTGTCCTTTTTCTCCTTCTTGGACTTCTTCTCGGAGTTGGTGGTGTCGACGGTATCGACAGGAGCGTCCGTCATCTCGAGGTCTTTCGTCGCCGCCATCTTGAATGTGTTTTCCGTATCGAGGTTCGGGGACAAAGATACGGTGGAGGACTTGATTAGAAATAACAACAAATTCAAGGTTTGTTGATACCTCGAGTTTGCAATGTTTACAGAAGGAAGGGGGACAGCCGGCGCACTGACGCTCACTGAGATTCCCCAATTGCTGGCAGCACAAGATTTTCGAAAATTTACTTTGCGATAAGCCCCCGATAAGAAAGGGGTCACCATTTTGCTCCAGTTGCGAGTCCGCTTTTCTTGGAGCTTTGGTCTCCATCGCGCGAAATGCGGGGGAACGGGAACCCGGACCTCCACTTTCGGGTTCTCCACTGATACCACTCTGACTCTCGTGCCAAATTGGAAAGAGCCTCAGGTCCATCTTTTTTCAGATCTCCATCATTTCTTCATGGGACTTGCCATTTGCAGATTACAGTAGAGACATGCCCCCTTTTTAGTGCAATGTGAGCCTGCTTTTGGGTTACAGATCTGCCTTGCTCCGACGAAGACAGGTCTTGAAGTGCAGTCGTACACAGGCACGAGACGCACAATACCTACGGTACCTTATCAGCTGTCCCCTGACTGATGGAGCGGAATAAGTACTGCGTACAGTACGTGTACATGTGTACATGGGAATGGGTCGTCGACCCAGATGCGCAGTGGACGGGAATAATTCCCCAAAACCGCAAATATCAGAGAAGATGCCGCAAGGCGTGATGGGATGGGCCAAATGTAGCCACGAGAGCAAGTCGATGATGCCAATATTCCGACTTGGCCCATATCATACCTCATAATGACCGGGATTTACCTTGCCATGAATAATAGCTCATATCGTAGACATTTGCCCATGTTGAGCACTCGTTGAGTTGTTGGACGAATTGCATCTCAAAAGACAGCTCTATCAGACTCAGCTGCACAGCTGGGTAGTCGCTCCTGAAGCCCGATGCATAGGAGACAGAAGCTCCGACCCTAAGTCAATCTCCCAATGGAATGATATCAATCCTTCGGAAGTTGTTCCAGAGTGATGATGGTTATAAAACCCCGCAGAATCGAAACGGAAACGACATGAGGAGGTTGCTGACGTTGCTCGAATCAAACCCCCCAGAGCTTTGATACGGATCGAGCGAATCGTCAAGGGGCTGATCGGGTGGGTGGGCCACATGGCATCAATGTCGTTTTCCCATCTCGCCAAGCGCAAGAGCCAGAAACAGAACAGTGTTGTTGGCAAACGCCTGTCCAAGGACCACGCCGAGAGAGATGCAGAATTCCAAGGTCCTTGATGCTGTCCGTACCGTGGTTGGTGTACCGTTGTCGCTGTCGCTGTCGCTTCACAGTTAAATCGTTGGTTGCGTTTGCTGACCGGAAAAGTGGAGGCAGTTGGTACCCGAAACCATCATCTTGGGCCTCACGTGCCGAGAACCACCGATAGGGCTTGGCGAGATCGGGCCTTGACTTGAAAAGAGAAGAAAAAATGACAGAAGGACCTTGAAGACCCCACCAGTCCACGTCGTACTTTTTCTCGGAAAATGTCTTGTTAAGAACTTTATTGGCAGCCAGTCTGAACAGACTCTGGAGCTCCTCTCTTCCTATCAACGCCTCATTGCTTGGGCTTGCAGGCCGGCTTGTCTTGACCGCTTGAGATCTTTCGAATGGTTCGTCGTCTCGGGGTTTGATGCATGCACTTAAACATTCTGGTAGGGGTTCACGAGGTACCAACCACAATCACTTTCGTGAGGGGACCAGTACTTGATATGGTTAGTGTAACAAAATTCTGAAGAGCTAATATCCTCTTCTGGTTAGTTACCATCCTGACCACATGGACTCCATCAACAAAGCGGGCCCCAGAGCTGGGTGAGTGGACCTGGCCTTGAAAATCGTCAATACACTTTTTTTGTTTTGCCCGCCGTCGCCCTTGCTCACTGTCTGAAGTTGGTTCCTTGCAAATGCAAAGGGTCGCTGCTTGCTGGTGCTGCTCTTCCCTTCCGATACACACCACTGACAGTTGACAGTCCCCGGCATCACCAATCGGCGTAAAAGCTGCTTTGACCTTGAAGAGGCCCAGCCAACCGTTGTGTCCGCTGGCAGACACTGGCCGCTGGACACCACCTGGACACACCACACACACATCACACGCTGACTGGTCACTTGTCACCACTACTGACCACTACTGCTTGCTCCAGGACCAGGACACCAGTGAGAACCAGGGAATGAGCCACTGGGACGCTGAAGCGAAGGCCAAGCGGATGCGCTTTTGTTGTTGGCTTTGTTGGTCGCATTTGGCTTCTCCGCTGCATTGAGTGCACCCATTCAACTCCATTCTGCGCATTCCTCCATTCACAGTCCTTCATTCGTCGCAATCCGTGCAAGTGCAGAGCGAGAAAGGCGAAAAGGCTCCTCACTTTTGGTCGCTTCTTACAGAGCCAAGAACGTCCAACTAAAAAATCTCCACCAGAACATCGCACTGTGAAGTGGAAAGCAGTCTGACTGCGCGGCCCTGCCTGCCATTCACGGACAAGAGTTCGCTCCATTCTCTCACTTGCCATTCCTTCTGCGCCTCTCCTTCCCTTCCACCCTTCCTTCATTCCCAGTCCTCTCTTCCTTGACTCGCATTTCTTGCGACTCGCAATTGTTTGCAAAAACTCAAAACAAACCCAACCCGCGAGCGGTCTGACGCCGGCTGCTCCCTGACTTTACTCACCTCAGATCGCCTGACTTCTTCCACCGCCGTCGCCGATCCGTCGTCTGTCCGCATCATCGTCGTCTCCTTTTTGCGTCGGCAACGCCACGCCACGCTATACCGCCAAACGAGCATTGTTTTCAATCCCACAATGAACGTGCTCCTATCGCCGCAGCCGCTCTTCTTCCCTCATCAACACGAACCCTCTCGTCGCTCGCCGCCCAGAACAAGTAAGTTGTTGCAGCATTGTTTTGTCATTGCATTGCAGCGTGGATCCACAGCACTCACTGCTGGTATAAAATCTGGCTAGTGCTGCAGACTTGCTAACAACCTTCTGTCAGTGTCGCATTATACCATGACGTCCAGGAAAAGAAAAGCCGACGACGATGATAACGAAATGTCGGTTTCGCCGACCGGCTCGCCCGCAATCAATCCGAGGCAGCTCTCGAGGCCGTCCAAGAAGGTCAGGGCTGGCATCGAACTTGCAGGACGCCCACTGCCCCTTCCCCGCCTCCTCGAAACCCTCGACAAGACGCAGCTGCGAGCTGTGCTTCAGACGATCTGCGAGCGTCATCCGGACATCGGACACGAGGTCATGACATCTGCACCACGGCCGTCAGTCAACGGAGCCCTCGAGGTTCTGGGCGAATACCAGGACAAACTACGAGCCGCCATTCCTTTCGGCAACTCGAGTTCCGAATACACTTATTATCGGGTCAAGCAGCCGCTCATGGCGTTGGTGGATGCTCTCGGCGATTTCACTCCTCAGTTCCTGCCGCCGGTTGAGCAGCAGACGACCGTGTCGTTGGAGTACCTGAACCATGCAACAAAGATCATTCACGACCTACCCGATTTCGACAGCCAGCAATATCGCCACCACAAGGATGGAGCGTACGACGAGATATCCAGGGCATGGGCGTTGGTCATCACGGAAGCAGCCAAACGGGGAGGAGGCTTCCACTTGCACAACGGAAAATGGGATCAGGTTTTGGCTAAGCACAATCAGCAGTCCGGAGGAAAGCTGGAGCAGGCCATGAACGCAATGGTCAACGAGGTTGGATGGATCGGCGCGAACCAGAACGCTCATGGGCAGGGCTCTTCTTCGGACCCGAACTCGATACTCAACCAGCTCATCAACGGCACATATGGCGCACCTGTTCAAGTTGGTCCCTTCTAGAACAGGCGACGACATGACCATCAAAGTGCGCCGTGACTAGGCATTTATAGGAACACTTTTGGGAATGGGAGGAAAAGCAAAACGGACAGTAACGTCGATTGCATCATGGTTTCTTTTGTCGTTCATTTTTCTTTTCAACATTCAGGGCATTGTTTGGGGCGAATGGGGAGGGAGAACATAGACAGGCGTGGGTTACTTGCGGTCAGGGATCATTGTTCAAACGGCGTTGGTGTTTTGGCTTTTTAAATGCTGTTATTCCTTTCCGTCATTGTTGCCTTTCAGGCAGCATCTCACTGGCACAACGAGATACCTCTTTCCTACCGGCTGTCTCTCGTTTTGGGGGACAACTTTGTCAGTCACTTGCATGTACACGAATTTTAGCATATCCTTTCCGAGGTCGGAAGTTTGGAGCATGTGTGTAACCAACCATCACTACATTTAACATATCCATTCCACCATCGCTAGCAATTGGGAAACGGAGTCTCGGATGACACAGTGTGCCTGGCGGGTGACTTGGTGTAGACACCCGTTGTTTGTTCCGGGTTCCTTGAGTGTATCTTGAGGTGAAGCTTTGGAGCACAGCGGCTTGTTTGGATCAATCAAACTTGCCTTCCATCATACGAAATGTGTAATCCGAGCCGCCCTTTCCCAGCTGTGAAATCGAAGTGTTCAGGTCATGAGTCCAAACGCGTAACTCGGATGATCATCTCTCCCCTTGAATCACCGTCTTGTTGGTAGATAGTAGAAACCAAAGCAATCTCGTAATCAAGTCCCTTGCATACATGTACTTCTGCCACAGTGGATGACTAAGCTGGAACTTGAAGGACGACTGAAGAAGCTCGAGGTAAACTCGCCCTACCCACGGGAACTTTTGCCTGGAGCAAAACGCCCGAGTTGGACAACAACACGAGGGACGGGAATATTGATGATAGTGGGGCCCTGGAGCTCCTTGTGTGATGGGATGACAAAGGCCTAAAAGTTAGTGAGGTCACCAACGAAACCCCATCGCCACAGGGACCAGTTCAGGGGGGTGCTAGGCAGACGCCGTTGGTGTTGCACGTGACGACCTGTCCCGAACGTGCAACAACGCACCTTGGGCGCGCCTGCCCACTTTCCATAACGCGTCTTGTCGTTCCTGCCTCGATACACCACTGCATATCTCGCGACGCTTACGTTGGGCAACTCGCAAAGATCTCTGAAACTTCCTCCCTTCAACTCGTTGGTCTGAACTCTCTCTTGCTGGGGATCTCACTGCGAACAACTCGCGAACCACCAGCCTCGAGGCTGCTCTGCCAGACAAGATGCCTGCGTATGTTTACCTCTGCCACCGGCCCGTGTTAACCGCGTCTGTCGCGGCCTTCTAGCGATGGTGAACCCCCATTAATACTTTTACAGAATCGGCGACCAACACAAGCTCATTACCAACCCATTCGAGGAACCACAACGGCGAATCAGCGAATACACAGCCCAGGAAATCGCCACACTCCAGAGCCGTCTCGAGAAACAACTAGGACCCGAATACCTGTCCAGCCGCGCCGGCCCATCAGGCCAGAAAGTCCACTACATCTCGTCGGAAAAGTGCATCCAGCTCGCGAACGAGGTCTTCGGCTTCAACGGCTGGTCCTCCAGCATCCAGAACATCCAGGTCGACTTCGTTGATGAGCACCCTCAAACACTGAAAATCAACATGGGCATCTCGGTTATCATGCGAGTCACCCTGCGTGACGGAACGTTCCATGAGGATCTCGGATACGGCCACATTGAGAACTGTAAGGGCAAAGCGGCTGCGTTTGAGAAGGCCAAGAAGGAAGCCACGACAGATGCCTTGAAGCGCGCGCTGCGCCAGTTTGGCAATGTGCTGGGCAACTGTATCTACGACAAGCAGTATTTGGCCAAGGTCACAAAGATGAAGGTCGAGCCGACCAAGTTTATGGCGGATAATCTGCATCGACACTCGGATTTCGCCAAGAAGGAGCCAGTTGAGGCGGATCTCATGAAGGTTGACCCGGTTGAGGCGGTCGCTCGTCCACCAGCGTTGGGAAACGAGGAGTCTTTTGAGGACTTGCTTGGAGGTAAAGTCACTTGTAGTCCAAATTTCTTGTAAGGATCAGCTAACGGTATACTAGAACTCGATGAGGCCGACTTCAACATGGCCGATGAAGGCCATCCGGACGAAGTTGTGCTACCACAACAACCTGTGCACAATAGCTTGAACGACAAGCCTGTCCATCAGCAACTGACTAACCTCAATCCACAAGCACAGCAATCTCGACCACTGACGAGATCAGGGTCAACAGGCAGCCTGAACACCCGACAACAACCACAGACTTCCAACCAGTTCACAGCGAGGGCTCAAAGTCGGCCTCCACAACAGCAGTTCAACAACAACAACCAAAGTCGTCCTGTGGGTCAACCTAACGCAAACACTTCCAACAACGCTCAGAACTACGCAACACCACAGAAGCCTGCACCTGCCGCTCCCGCTCCCCAAGCAGGTGCGGGTGCAGCTGTAGTTCCCGTTCCAGAAACCGTTGGCTTCTTCTCCGCCAAAGCAGTGACACAACTTCCGGAGGAGGCTTTGGCTAGCGGCCAAGTCGCTCCCACGAAACCCGGTCTAGCATTCAACCCTCATGCCGAAAGCCCGTCGATCCGCAAGACGCCCGGCATCGACCACACCAAGTCCAAACCTCTAGCCAGAAACGGCCAACACGTCCCTCCAGCCAAGACAGCCTCCGAGACAGCAGAAGCAGCAGAACCGAGCACACACACGACGTCGTTTTCAAGACCCGCGGGAGCTCCGGTCGGGGCTGCATCACGACCAGTAACAATTAGCGAGGCACGCGCAGCATCAGGAGGAGGAGGGGGCTTCACTCGTGTCGGGCCACCGCATGTACCTCACAACATGGCCAAACCAAATGTCGTTAACCCCCAACTTGACCAGACACGACGGATCGGTGCGCCAGGAGGCATGGGAGGGGGGTTCTCTAGTAACCCTAGTGTCAACCGGGGCCAGTATCGGCCGTTGACGGTGAAGAGACCTGCTACTGCTATGGCAGGAGGAGGAGATGCTACTGGTGGTCAGACTACCAAGGATAGTAATGGTGGTAATGGTGGTGATGGTGCAGCGGCGAACGCGGCTGCAGCAGCAGGGTCGACGACGACGGGAGGTAATCCCGCTCCATCTGCTGGTAACGGTAATGGAGGGCACAGAGTACCGTTAACTGACATGTCGGCTAATGCGCCGAACGCCACTACGGCAGCGGGCGCGGGCGCGGGGGCTGGGGCTGGGGCCGCTGGGGCTAATGGGCCGGAGGTAAAGAGGCAGAGGGTGGCGTAGAGTCTAAACTGGGTTGAGATTGAGGCAAGTTTCTTTAAGAACACCTTTGCATGGCTTAATCTTTTCGTCAGGTCAGCTGGCAGAATGGATGGTATCTGGTAACTGGTAACGGGTATGTTGGTACAAAAGGTGCAAGGGAGTTTCGAGGCGTTTTGTTATGACGAACTTCTTTCACTCCCGACGCGGAGATAAGGGATGGATGGCTCATTTTCGGTTTATGGACGGATGGATTTTTAATGGGATCGGATTAAACGCAAGCAAGCTATTTAAGAGGCGAATCAGATAACCACGCGGAGCAGATTTCTGGTGTCGTTCAAGACCTAGTTCCATTCTCTTCGTTTTGAGGAACAGTTGGTCGGTAGTAAGTACGCTTGTACCATACGATAATATAGGATCGGAAGTCAACGACCGAACGGCGCAAGAACCATGAGCGGTATCTTTCTTGGTGGAATTCCTTAGATGACAGGATTTATACAAGAGAATATTTCACGAGGATGTGTTGCGAGTACCAGTAGTGCGAACAGGTCGAATGACTATGAAGCTAGCTATTTGCATTTGATCTTATGCCTAGAGGTACGAACACACACCATGACGATCACCGAATGTAATCCAAGTGTCCATCCTGCCAGTGCATTACCACAGGCTCATTCGTCCCTCTACAAAAGTTGATGCTCCGAGACGGCTACAATCCAGAAGGCATGCGAGAATGGGTAGTCACGGTATTATCATTGCACAGCGGGCGATCGAGAATGCAAGGACTCATATGACGAAATTGTACTCCATTTGTTTCTACCATACACCCACTACTTGAACGCAATCTGAATGCCATAACGGTTTACAAGAGTAGTGAACTTTAGATCCAGAAGTTGTGGGTTGCCAGTTTCCATCCCAATATGAGACTGAACGCACAGCTCACCACTACCTGGACCCTTCAACTAATCGCTTGATCTCTCGTCAGACACTGGTCTTTTCAAGCCTTATCACCTAAAGCAGACATTTAAAAACAGACGACATGTATGATAGGAGAGTTCCACGAAAAACACGAGGTTACGTTGACAAAGGCAAGGAAAACTAGCAAATTAAAGCACCCATCAATTGACCCAAGTGACCCGACAAAACAAAATCCTTCCGAACACTCCGTTATCCATGGTTCCCGTCGAAAAATTCCTGACCTCGCCGGCGCAAGGTTCGCAAAGCATCACTACTACTTCCTGGAGGCGCTAACAGACTCCTCATCCGAGGCGTCAAGGATGTCGTACTCTTCATCAGTCATGTAGGACTCGGACTCATCCCACTCGGCATCTTCGCACTCCTCGTAGTCCTCCTCTTCGGGACCAGACTCGGCTTGAGACTGGGCGTCCTCCTGATGGACGCTAGCAGAGGGTGACTCCTTGTCGAGCTTAGGGAAGACCACTTGGCTATGGTCAATCGGGGCAGCGTCGTTGGTCTCGGGCTCAATGTTGAGCTTGGCCATGTTCTTCTCGAGATCCTCAACCTTGGCAGGGGCTTCCCGAACCTTCTCCTCGGGAGCAGTCTCGGGCTTCTTGACCACAATATCGCACCACAATTTGTGTCCGATCATGAGGCCCTGCTTCGTGGATACCCGCCAGTGCGACAGATGTCTGCCTTCCCTTGATGGGCTGCGGAGAAGAACAGTAAAGGGCACGGATTGACCAGGAAGTACTGGCTGCTCGCACACATTGGATTGCAAGCAAGACTCAAGGTCGCCAGTGGCTGTGGGGTGAGCTGGGTCTACATGACCCATGTACTCACCATGAAGGTACTTGACGAAGCACCCAGCCGGCCAGGGTGTAGGTCCGTCATTGCGGACGACCCAGGTTTGCTCAAAGACCTGGTCAGGTCCGAAAACGGTACCATCGACGACCTTGTCTCGCACATATGTAGCGACATACAAAGGAGCCGGGGACTCGGCGTTCTCGGCCTTTACAGCGGGAGCGGGCTCGGAGGGCTTCACGTCAACCACAGTCATGACGCTGGGCTGGAACGACTCGGTGCCTGTGGCACGCGAAGTGGTAACGCGACGGCAAGGACGCGGCCGATCGCCCATGGCCGGCATCCTGCGTCCATTCTCATGCTCGCCGGTAGTCGTGACGTTGACGTTACGAACGGGGGTCTTGAACTTGATCAAAGGGTGGGTCTTGTTGTGAGTGTTGGCGGGGCTCGCCTCGCACTTAGCGCAGAAGTCCACATCGTCACAAACAGCGCACTTGTAGCGGTCGCCAACAATGTAGGTATAGCCAGGGCGGTTGTTGTTGTTGCACAGCGGGCCATCGCAGCATACCCCGACGTGAGTAAGAGCGCGCGGGACGTGGCAAATGTAGGCAGGCTCGAGGGGCTCATAGATAGGAACGAAGCGGTGATTGGCATGGATGAACGAAGCCGACTCGTAGCAGGTTGAGCAATAGTCCCAGTCGGGGCACTGAAGGCACTTGTGGCGAACGCCGCGGATATCCTTCTCACAACCATCGCAGATAGCGTGGTGAAGTTGGTTGCGACCTGGGGCGAGACGGGTCCTTACGTCTGACTCCATACAAGTCCCGGGTACAAGAGGAGAAAAGGCGTGCTTGGGGTGATGTCCGTGGCGGTTCCTGGCAAAGCAACCCTTGCAGAGATCGAAGTCGTCACATGTCTGGCAGTGGACAAATTCGGCCTCAGGCAAGTCTGAAATGCAGCAGTTGCAGGTGCGCAGGGTGACCCGAGAGTAAGACTCGACGGAAGGAAGGACGCTCTCGTAGCGGGAAACGGAAGGAGAGGCAGAGGAGAGAGAAGATCTCGAGCTCTCAGCCTTGGCCAGAGCCAGAATCTCGTTTGTTCTCTGAAGTGCGGCCTTCTGGTCCTCAGCCTCCTGGAGCTTGGCCATATACTCGACATGAGCTACAGCCATGCGTTGCTCTAGAGCCTTGGCTTGTGCGAGTTGCGCCGCGTCGACCATGGGGGTATATTCACGAGACTTGGTGTCGACGGTAGTGATGGAGCCGTTGTTAATGAAGCGCTTGGTCAGTTGGTGACCATAGTTGTGGCATACAACACCCTTGTTGTGGCAGTCAGGGCAAAGATCAAAATCGCCGTCGTCACAGATGGAGCAGTGGTAGTGATCGTAGGCGATAGTCTGGTCGCAGCTATTGCAGCAGACGGCATAGCCAGAACGGGTCGAGAGTTCGCTGACAGGCATAGAAGCCATACTGGCGGCACGGCCAAAGGGCAGGCGGTTCTGAAGATCCTCGATGCGGTCCATGGCCTTGTTGACGCGTGTCATGATATCGGAGCGCTCAACCCTGAGATCGTCAAAAGTCTTGACGGTTTTGCCACCAGTCTCGATTGACTTGATGACCTCGGGGGTTTCTTCATGAACGGGACTAGTGGGGTTTGACGCTGAAGTCTCGCCCTCTGTCTCTGTGGGTTCGGCTTCGACCGAGGCCGACTTGGGTCCCGTTGTGGTGTCCTGATGCACCTCGGGGGTGGAGGCCTGGGCAGGCGTCTCTGCCGTCATACAGGTAACGCGTAGTTTAAGCTTCTGCTTCGCCTTGGCCGCGCGGAACAACTGTTTGTACACCGAAGTGTTGGCGGGATCAAGTGTGATGTATGTGGCGGCAGAGTCGGAATACCGCTCGAAAATGGCGTTAGTTTCGGCGGGAATCTCCAGGTATTCACGCAACTGGTCGAAGGGTCAGCGGGCATATCCTAAACTGATAAAGGGGACAAGATGGATGCTGAGGTGTGTCCTTTGTGATAAGAGTAATGACGTACCTTGGTCTCCAGGGAGCTAGCAGTTAGGTCGCGGAAGGGGAGCTTGAACCTGCGAGTAGCACCCTCAAATGCCACCTTGAGGGTGATGGGGGTATCAGGGCTTGGTGGAGGTGCCGCCATAATGCCGGACTGAATGGTTGAAGATGGATGTGTTAGTCAAAGGTCTAGTCCGAAAGGTCGGGTGCGAGGAAAGCGACAATGAACGGGATGCAGGGACTCTTAATAAATGGCACGATAGGCGGTAAAGGTAGCGCTAAACCCGCCACAGCAACAGCACTGAATGACACAAGAAGGGAAGGCAATCATTTGAGCCAGCAACGGCGACAACCGAAACAGGACAGGACCACGACAACAGGAACGACAGCGACGACAAAGTGGAAAACGGTTTGTATCGAAACAAAAAAGGTGCAGATCATTCACCGCAAAATGCCAACTTACTGTAGGCCGTTGCTGGTAGCCGCCTGATGCGGTGTTGTTGATGGTTGACGATGAAGGGATGGAATTCTGATGGGAGGGAGCCTGTTAGAGAGAGGTCATGGTAGGTCCTCGTCGACGTCAATCCGACACGCAACGCAGTGGACCACAACCGAGGCGGTGTCCAAAACAGCGACGGGTTGGCGAATAACGCTTTGAACGTGTAAGGTCAACTTACAATAAAATTGATGAAACGGGCTGGTAGATGGATTTGACGATGATTCCCGCGTTGTGAATGAGGCCAGAGATGGAATCTTGGCTGTGAAGGTGGAAAGAGAAGAAAGAGAAAGGAAGCTGTGTGGGCAGGCGAGTTTGGAGTCGAGCCGGCTCTAATAGTAGTTGCCTCACGTTGGCGGGATATCCGTTGGTACAGATACCGTACTGTGCTGCAGTATGTACGCGGTGTAAAATCGAGGGACGCCTTGGATCGTCGTTGGGGGCTTCCAGTTCCCGTTCCGGTTAGTCGTAAGTTTGCACGGGACAGGTAGCTGTACTTGCCCACGTTAGCAGACATGCGGCTGACCTGCTGTGAAATGATGCATCTTTTCACACGCACTAGCAATCTGGAAGCGGTCAAAGGTAGAAGGGTAGGTAAAGAGCTGTTAGAGGTCAGGCTCTCACTTACTGGTTTTGAACATTTTCCTGGAAAGACGGCCGGCCAAACACTAACGTTCTCCAGGTGCCAAGTCTGTAATGTTACACATCATTACCCGAAATACAAAATCAGCCAATCAGGAGCTGGCCTTGTCTCACAGCACTGACCGTCTTCCTTCATTCTGACCAACCGTCTCTGTCTTTTTGTTCATTGCACGTTGCCCGCTTTCCTACGCAATCAATTTGCAATGATCATCAACGTATGCATTTATGTTCAAGATCCTGGCTGTTTCTGCCTTGAGGTTCTCTGAGGGGAAATGTCAACAAGTGCTGTGTAAGGCTTTCTGTGTTCTCTCACTTCCAGCTTGACCATACTGTCTGACTGTCCATTACTAATACACGGTCGAAATTAAGCTAGAAACCCCTGGTTGGTCCTGTTGAATATTACACATCTGGCCATCACAAAGTCGAGTGGAAGCCCACGGAGCCATCGAGGCGAAAACACTACGAAGACATGGGAACACAAGAATCCGGACGTACGTCGCCATTTGGAGGGCCTACGACCGGGGGGCTTGGTTGACCGAGTTTGCCGGCTGCCAAAATTGCAAAGGCGGGTGACTGGTGAGTGATGATGGCGCTTTGATTCGCACTTGCTGAAGTCCAAATAAGCCCGCGATATTTCAGTCTATTTGTTAGCACTTCAGGCGACCTGGCAACTTAGCAGAAACGTACGAGTTCCGTACGCAGTCCATCGTCACCTGAAGCTTGCCTACATATTTCAATGCAGATGGCGGTACTGTAAGTTGATGCTGTTGGAGGAACTCGTAAATGGGGCAGGCAGTGCTTATCGCCGCGTCACAGAAATACCATAACTGTGCTAGTGTCAGATGACAATACCCCCCGGCATGAGCCCCGCTCGAGTTGCCGGGCGGCAGCGGTACCGTCTCCATTTAATCGGCTGGCCAATGAATCCATTCAGAGATTCTTTCCGCCAATCCGTTCGTTATTTGGGTATTGCCGTTTTCCAGTTACCACGACGACCTGAGAATTGGTGTCCCTTTCGTGCAAACGATCCCCGTGTCGACCGCCTCGGAGTGTGTTGGCTAGCCAGCTCAATCCTCATATCCCACGTGGATGGGACTGATCAACACGGACAACGATCCGTGACGATCTCAACATCTCAAGACAAACCAAATGGACAGTCGAGTTGAGCATCTCTCCAAGCAGACGGATGAAAACCATCAAAGTGGCTGAAGGGCGTCTGGCAGATACATATTCTCGAAAACAGGCCTGTAGTCAGCAAAAACTAAGAACTGCCTTCCTTTATATGCCTACTTCGGCATACCGAAAATCAAGCTGCTTCAAGCTTTGAGCATTTGCATGCGTCGGCAGATATGCCTTTTTTTTTCTTTTTTTATTGTTTGTTTCCCTTTCCTCTCCTCGCTGCATAAAACATCAGATATTGCAATCCTGCCAGCCCTACCAGAGGCTCGGACGACAACACGACAAAATGGCCAGGAGGCTGAAGAAGGCAAACATAGCTCATCAATAACAACTTCCGCGACGAGTCAAAGACTTGACTTGTGAATCCTCCAAACTATTGGATCACAGACTGTTCCACATAGGCCTCTCGCACAACAGCACGCTCACGCAACACCGAAAGAGCCTTACCCTTCTTACTTTTGCCTTCTTCCATCAATGTTAAATTGATTGCGCAACCGCTTGAGAGAGAAATCACCAATAAATCCTTTCCGGGTCCTGTCTCTCGGTCACTCGGCACCATCATATCCCGCCTCGTCCTGCCTGTCCGCCTGTCTCCAACCGAACTTCCGATTGCAATACCTTGCCTGGCTGCTGTGTTTTCTCAAGCAGTCAACCAGCTGCAGTCAAACCAACCCGTTCAAGATTCGATCTAAACTCTGATCTCAGTCATTCAGTCCTAACCTCACAAGCCCATTTCTTTCCTCCGATATCTCACTTCAAAGTTCCGTCCGATCCTCCGATGCCTTCCATTTACAGTATTTATCTTGACGACACCCCGTAATTTACCTTCCAGCCAACAACCACGGATCGGAAAGCTGCCTTCTGCCGCGGGGAATTCCAGTCGGGAGAGTTCCAGGCCTTCAAGCAGGAGCTCAAAGTCCAATGCACACGCACACGCACACAGTAAGCAAAGCAGAAAAGTGGGTGACACAGACGGACACCTGCAGTTCCCGAATCCTAGGGGACTTGAATCCCAGCGTTTTATCATATTATTTGAAGAAACTGGACAAGGTGCGGACCGGTACCGTGGATGGGATGGTGACCTGAACAAGGTGGACCGCGGCAACCTGTCGGTTTGGTGATTTCTGTTGGTTCGCATTTGGATCACATTCCCGGGAGACCGGAGGGGAGGGACAGGTAAAAAGTATACCAACATTTCAGCCTCAGCCGTTTGAAGGGTCTTCACCTACAGTTTGGACAAATGCTATACGGTTCGTTGAGTGCTTGATGTCTCACTAGGTATGTCATCTTCACTTCCAACTGAAGCGAAAATTTGGGAACCGTACATATATAATTCATATAAGGTCATGATGAGTACTTCTCTACGAGCCGTTCGGTTGAGAATTGTATCTCCCTTCCCCAGGAAGTTCAAATCAATTCGACAACATGTTATCCATGCTTCCTAGGGGCAGGTCGACAGCAAACTTCGAGCACCGTACATGATTCGGGGTCGTCGTAACCATGGCAACAAAAGTATACGCTCAAAAAGGTTGAACAAAAAGTGGACAGTCAACACGGGCACTCACGAAGTAATGGGACTGGATACAAGATCCCAACCATACGAGGCTCGATCATCTATGTCTGTTTCTACACGTTCGTCGCTTCAAACATCTTGATGCGATGAAGCAAGTCGAAGGTCCGGAAAAGCGTTGTTCGTCCCTGACGGAAAACACATTTTGGCATCCTTGGGCAAAATCATTCCCGAGTTATTTGGGCTGGTAGCTAGGGATTCCATTGAAACCTTAAAAACTCGCGCGTTTCTAACGACGGCTAGACGAACACATCCAAAACCACAATTCACCTATTTCCACTCCAGGCACAATCCTGAAAACAACATCTTCGAAACAGGCAAGCGAGGACTGGAACGTCATGAAGAAAGAATGTGTGAGATTGAGAGGGAAGGTGCGGTCCAGAATTGCTCGAGGAAGGGGTCACGGTACGGCGCGCGCATGGTTCCTTGGTGAAGGCTTTGGAACAACAACAGACGTTCCTTCCTCAACTGGAAAGCCCTCCATGGAAATCTTGAGATAAGGTCACCTCCACTTCTGCTTACCAGTATCAGTCGATGACTCTTCCCTCCTCCATTTGGCGTCAACCTTCCTTCACTTCCTCCGCGAACATCACGAGGCGTCGTTGCAGTTTCATCTGGAAACTTCGGAAGTATGCACGCGTCACAGAGAGACCGCTCACCTGGCAGGCACCAATTCCTTATCGCGGTTCGTTGGACCCGAGGTTGTCGGTACACCTGCTCACGGGAGCCCTTCCGGCCGCTTTAGTAGCACGAGATCCCGTCGAGGGCGGTGACAATGACGAAAGATCAGTTCCACCATGGGACAGATCGAGACTAGCTGTGATGGACAAGACTCGAGGGTGGATGTGTCGCTCGGTCATCCCTCATCACGCAACTCGTTCTGTTTGAGGCAGTAGGACAGGATGAACAAGGCAGTTACTCAACTTTGACATGAGGTGAACGGTTCGCGGCCGTACTCGCAGCGGGACCGAGGTTCTGCCTGCTTCAACAGACGGGAGTCACTGCCTCTTGTCGCGAGGAAGGATCACGCACCTCATTCAAAATGACCCCGCCATTGTGACTCCTTGCGACGGGAGTAACCATCGCTCTTTCTCCGGATAGTTCGCTGCGATGTCCATCAAAGGTCATACGTGGGGTACTCTGGCTGCTGGCTGTGTAGTTTCTTGACGATATAACAGCCACCATCGAATCTCCTTGGAACTTGAATCCTTTTCCACCACAGTCCTACTACACCTTTGTCCATCAACATACGGATCCCCTTCCAACTCGTAACACACACTTCCAACTGTTCGTTCGAGAGATACGTCTCACTCCTTCAAACCTCCAGTACCCTACCCCCTCAATTTATGCCCTTTCTCAGAAAGGCATCATCAGTCGCCATGGGTTCTATGTACCAAGTCCAGTCCAAGCTCCGTCAGGAACTTGGCCTCCACAAGGTTCAGGCTGTTCGCAAGTCCGGCCATAAACTCGATGGCACCAAGGCCTATGTTAGCGCAATGGCTCGCTACGGCTTCAACCCCACCGAGGAGTCCAGGTTCTTCCACTTGAAGAAGACCGATCTCACCAAGGAGTTTCAACGCCGCGGCTACACCCGTCACTGGGAGCAGCTGGTTAGGGCTCCCCAGGAACATCCCGACGATCCTCATAAAGACAACGAGCCTGTTCCTGCCGAGGATCAACAGTACGACACCGAGTACCTCTGCGAGATTGGCATTGGCACCCCGCAACAGAAGGTCAAGCTTGACTTTGACACGGGATCCGCTGATCTTTGGGTAAGGACTCGACCTTGTTAATTTCCTTCCTGCCACGATACTGACTACTTTTTTCCCAGGTCCGGTCCAAAGATTCATCCCTTCTTCATAAGGCCGACAAGAAGTTTGACCCGAAAAAGTCAGACACCTTCCAGGAGAAGACCGATCAGACCTGGAAGATCCAGTATGGCGATGGAAGCACCGCCTCGGGCACTGTCGGCACGGACGTCATTACCCTTGGTGGGCTTCAGATCAAGAACCAGGCCATCGAACTCGCCAAGAAGGTGTCCAGTGCCTTCTCCTCTGGCGAAGCTGACGGGCTTCTTGGACTTGCTTTCTCCACGATCAACACCATTGAGAGCGATGGCAAGCCGGATCCCCAGCCCACACCTGTCGAAAACATGATCAGCCAGGATGATATTCCCAAGGATGCCGAGCTGTTCACATCCGCATTCTACAGTGCTCGTGATGATAAGTCTGCGGAGAAATCTTTCTACACCTTCGGCTGGGTCGATGAGGAGCTCGTCAAATCTTCCGGACAGGAGGTCGCATGGACGCCCATCGACAACTCGGAGGGTTTCTGGAAGTTTCCCAGTGAGAGCGCTGCAATCAACGGCGAGAATGTTCCTGTGGACGGGAACACTGCAATTGCTGATACTGGCACCACACTGGCGCTTGTCTCCGACACTGTTTGCAAAGCACTCTACGCAAAGATCCCAGGCTCCAAGTACCAGCTACCAATACCAAGGTTACCTCATCCCGAGTACTATCACCACTGATCAGCTTCCTGAGCTGAGCGTCGCGGTTGGTGGGAAGCAGTTTATCATTCAGAAGGAGGATCTGTTGCTGGCACCAGCTGACAAGGATCATTGGTACGGTGGTGTGCAGTCGAGGGGTACTATGCCTTTCGATATCTTGGGTGATACATTCCTCAAGTCCATCTACGCTGTAAGTTCACATATATCCAAGGGAGCGAAACTGCGGCTAACGCGATGAGCAGATCTGGGACCAGGGCAACAGCCGCTTTGGAGCTGTACCCAAGATTGAGGCGAACCAAGACACCGTGTTCCCTACTTCCGACGGCTCACCTGAGGCCGGCTCGCCTGATCCGGATGCCGGAAACAAAGTCGGCGAGATCTCCCCCGTGGAGCAAGTTAGGGAGGCAGTGAAGGATCTGAAGATGCTGTAAGCTGTGGGAGAGGCCGCAATGTTTGTGGTTCGCAAAATGCTCGTTAGAAGAATTCGGTTCCATCAATGTTTCTACTGTATCGCATATGGAATTGGTGGCTTAACGGTGAAGTCTGTTGCCCTGAGCACTCTGTACCATTAGTGCACGCTGAGAACATCCAGTTTGACCTGACAGATCAGTAATTAGTTACTCATCCAAATCTCAACTCTTTTACTTCAGGTTGACCATATCACTGGAAGAATGAACAGGTGGCTCTTGGCTGTGTTTATTTGTGCAGCATAGTGTTTACCAGATGCCAGGAACTGATTCACATCCGCCACCAATTTTATAGACGTACATGATGGAGAGGTGGGAAGACTGGAGCAACCTTATGACAGCCTCTCCCTGGTTACTCGCTGTACGCATTACTTATCATGCCTTGGTCAGTCAATGCTGGTTAGAAGAAAATTATTAAAATCACACCCCTGAGCTAGGGCTGATCGAAAGACGACGACCAAACTCATGATTTACTGAGGTTATGGGACGTAATATCTGTGACCTCGGTAAGCCCCTGTTGAGGAGTTCCAAAAAAGGATGACAGCCTAGGTAGTGTTAGGTATGGGTTTTTTTTTTTTACGAGGAGTGTACGAAACACCAAGAGAGGAAGGGTTAAAGCACGAGCATGAGGTTTGCCGAGATCGCTGGAGCCGAGCCGCCACAATGTGATTTGAAAAAGAAGATTTATCAGTAGCAACTGTTCACCTCTCAGGAGCAAAAAATGGACGAGCTTACAATAACTAGCCTGGACATTCCAAGCTCACTTATCGCGAAGTTACGCCGTTCTCAAAGGACAGAGAGCTATGGTATGTCTGCTTCCACCTTCAAGGTAGGCTGTTCTGACTCGGGAGTTACCCAAGCAGAAAGCAGAAGGGATTAATACTGCCTAGGTATCCCATGACTAAATGGTGTGTCTGGAACCCTTGATCACATACGTAGCTCTGAGCCTCAACTTGACGTCGACAAGCTCTCTAGTGTGGGCCCAGTGCTGGGAAGAACCTGGGACATGTGAGCTCTTTTCTCTGTATGTGAGAGCTATGGTATGTAACTGGTTGAGATTTGGAGCAGCTGGTACATCGAGCTTCATATGAATATGGCGAGGGGAATAGGTATTATGGTCCAAACTTGTTGGGTCACGAAGTCGTTACTGCCCCGCTGCCCAAGCATTCATCTTCGCTGTACACTACGGTACTGCTGTGCTACCTGATGTTCGGTTGAGACGAAGACTTGGAGATGCCGTTCCCAGTCAACTGTTCCTGACCAAGTGGCTTTTTTCAAATGTTAAAAAAGGCTCCTACAATAAATGAATTATAAATGGACCTTTTAGAAGGCTTAGCGTTTAGAATTCGCAGACGTTTAAATTTCTCAGCAGTGAATAAACCGTCTAATATTATTACTTGTTTTCAACCATCAAGTGTTGAGAAATGCATAAACTGTCCATTTATAATAAATTAAGTGCAAGCCTTCTCAAGAATGTTTATCTGCTAGAACGATGGCGGGTTAAGTATATTTCTCAAAACTCGGTTGGTTAGGAACGAGGGGGAATTTCCTCAAACGTTTGACACCTGTAGATTTATTGTACACGAACGTTAGATAGACGTTTGCTGAACCCCCCTCCTTTTCGTACGGGCCCAAGTGCAGGCACCTCATGAAGAGGCAGCAGCGATAACGGAATGCAACGATAAGAGGGACAAGAGAGTACTTGCAAGAAGGAGAAGGACTCCGGAAAGAAAAAGGCATGACCATTGACCATGACGAAGACACTGTCCCTCATCTCGGGAACCAATCCCGAAAGGCTATTGATTGGTCAGGTTTCTTGACGAAGGATGGGTCAAGGAGTGGACGAAAAAGGATGTTTTGTTGTTTCTGCAACGATTGTCGTGCATCATCGTGCCTTTTTGTTGGCGTGCGTCTGTCGTGCTTGGGCTCTCTGTCAGATGGGATAATACATTGGTGGTGATTAAGCAAAATGAATGAAGTCTGGAGGGATGTTGCCCAGTCTACTTGTTGCAAGTTGAATGGTTACTCTTTAGCGAGAAGCCAAGGTGAGGCAACATCACGAGCTATCAAAGTTTGGATAAAATCTCAAGGAGAATATCGTTCAGGCATTAATCACCTGCAGTTGATGGACTGACACAACGGACGACGAAGAGGAGGAGAGCACGAGAAGTCAGTTGAGGAGTTGTAAGGTGACTGGTGCACGAGCCACAAAGTGGTTTTAGCTCCAGGGAAGCTGCTAGAGTTGGGGGGCAAGTGGATCATTGAGCCCAGTCCGGCCGGCAAGGGGACTGACAGAAGTGTCAGATCAACAACACCAGGCAGCGAACTGGTCTCAGCGGGATAACTTTGACAATCACCTAACCATTGGCCATCCTTCATCTTCAAAGAAGCTTTGATTATATACTACTCAAAAGGCAATTTTAACAGCAAAACCTTCAACTCCTCAGACATGGTTGCGATCACCTCCTAACCTGGAGGTTGACGAGCCCAGAAGCGGGCGGCAAGACCCACCACAGAGCGTCAGGTCCCCAGGCTCCCCGCGCCTTCGATTCCAGGCCTTCCTTGGGCGGTGTCTGGCGAGCTTCCTCCAGGCGGCCAGGCCTCAACCTTTCCACTTGGCTGCGATTCTGCCCAGGTTTTCCGCCCAGTATTGCTCCCACCGCCTGCCCGCCCGCTACGTAGGAGGTGCTCCTCGTAAATATCGACCGAGAGAGGGGGCACTTCATAAGTTCACTCTTGCTTGGGCCTGCTGCGTAATTCCGACTCTTTCTATCGTCCATCATTTTGGTTATTCTCAGTCCTCTCGACATCTTCGTTGTCATCAGCATCGCCTGTCCCTGCCTGTCCCGCCCGCATCTTCTGTAACATCTTCTTCTTTCCCCTGCCCAGCCAACATTCCAGGCCGGCTTTGTTTCTGAACCCCGACCTTTTTTTTTTAATAACCTTACCCCAACCAAACAAATCCAACCCGCCGAGGGATTCAAGATTGCTCCCTCCCTGCGAGCTTCGGACTCGACTTTGGACGACGGCCGTCACAAACCTTCACACACACACACACACACATCTTTCAGCACCGCAGGGCGGTTACCGGACACAGATCCCAAACCGTTCTTTTTAACATCCTTCTCCCGACAGAGAGGACCAACCACACACCACAACGCTAGAAATAGTCCATCCGACTGGGCCTCCCTGTCCTTGACGTCGACTGGCCCACCAACAATTGAGCTTGCCGATCACCGACAACATTACTACCACCATCGAAGCTTCCCCCAACGCGATCATCCATATCCATTCTACCCCCACCTCAGTCACCTCCAAACACAAACAATGGCTCCCGCCGCGCCCAGACGCAGAAAGGCCATCGGCCTACGTCGCAGAGTTGAGGACGAGGGTGAAGAGGAGGGCCCCGACGCCTTGGACCTCGAAGACGACTCGGTGACAGAAGGCTCCATCGCAAGCGATGACCACGACCTCGCTGGTAACGACAGTGACACTAGCAATGTCGATGAGGTTTCACCCTCCTCCCCCAAACTCCACAAGCACGTCGGCAATGGCGCCGCGAAAGCTGGAACGAGGCGCCGCGCGAGCGATACACCCGTCGTCGTCGCCAAGTCTGACGAGAAGCCAACCGTGACGGATACGGAAATCATGCTACATGGACTGTCACTAGCCGACAAGGATGGCGGGGTTGAAGAAGTCGACTTCGATGAAAGTAAGCATGATGAGGACGCTGAGAAGGGCCCTGCTGCTAAGGATTCCGCCGCGCCTGTCGTCGTGAGCTCGAACTCTGTCGCAAAGCAGTCGCGCCTCCCCCCACACGAGAAACGCCGGTCGGAACATGAAGAATACCGGCGGAAGAGGGACGAAGACCCAGCCTTTGTGCCCAACCGGGGTGCTTTCTTCTTACACGATCATCGACATGCTGGGCCTGCTACGAACGGCTTCCGCCCATTTACTCGACCGGGCCGTGGAAGGGGTGGTGGGCGAGGTGGTGGGCTTGCGGGCCCCTTCACTCCTGCAATGTAAGTGTTGACCATGATACTGGTGAATCTCTGTTGATACTTGCATACTGACCATTTCTTCAGCCCTCCTAACAACCCCTCCGATCCCACGACGAGCGGCCCTTGGGCGCACGATTTGCACGAAGAGGTCGCCGCACCTCGTCCGCAACGACAGCAGCCACCCAGGTATATGCCTGATAATGAAGGCCCTCCGAACGGCAACGGCGTCATACACAACGCGCCACTGAGCAACACCCATATCAACCGGGCCATGTCCTGCGTCAAGACCCTTGGCAACGTGACTGTCCGGGTCTTCCTCCCCAACATTGGCCTTGGTCCTAAAACCTTCCCTGGCATAGCCTTGAAGCAGTACACAAAACTTCCCGATCATCGTCCGCCTCTACGAAGGGATAAGCCCGTCAGAGTCTCCATACCATACCACAATTTCCCTGTGATGCCTCGCTATATATTCCCGGCCAGCGATAGATCATTTATCTTCATCCCGCGGGCCTTGCGCCCGAACAACCAGCGCGGCCGCGGCAAGGGGCCGCGTTCTGTTTACGGCTCCATTGGGGGGTTCTCTCGCAGGACTAGTGTGTTTGGTGGAAGCTACTACGGCAGCGCCTATTCACCTAGCATTGCTATGAGCCGACGATCCTCGATTGGCAGGGACTTTATGATGTCGCCGACAGGCTCTGTAATCTCCCGCCCCCCTCTCCCCGTCGACGCCAACAGACCTGTTGTCCGTCTGCCACCGTATGCACAGCAGCAACCAACGATGGCCGCAAACCAAAGTATGCCTATGATGGAGCCGTCTATCAACAACCTCCCACAGCCGCAAACTTATCCTCTTCCCCAAAAGCCTGCTTTCCAGGATAACAATGGAAACGCAATTCCCATGCACCAACCGCGTCCGCAGAAGTCCGTGTCGGTTGAGAACATCGAGGCGCCAGCGCAACCATCGGCCGGTACACCTCCAGCTTATCAACAAGCTTTCCATCAGCAAGTTCCTCCTCAGTTGGAGTCGCATGCTCGCAACCCATCATATCAGTCCCAAGTTTCGACAACTCCACTTTCGCAAATTCCCGAGCGAGCTATCCATGCCGCTCCGTTCCAGCCCAACAACTTCTCACAGCCTGGCTTCTATGCCCAACCAGTGCAGATGATGCCTCCTCAGCAGGGATACTACTATCCTCAGGCAATGGGCGCCGATATGCAGCCAAATGCAGCGGCGCCTGCTTTTATTCCAGGTGGAGTTCAGATGTCTCCGGCTATGGCATACACAACAGCTGGGCCAGTTGACCCAGTAGCAGCCGCAAATGCTCAGGCTGCTGGGCAGAACGGCGGCCAGCAAGGTCCGGTTGCCCAAGAAATCAATGGCATGGTGTACTACTACGATCCGAACACGCTTCCTGCCATGGTCACATACCCTCAGTATCCAGCTACAGGGCCGACGTATGGAGCCCCTATGGGCGGTATGATGGTTCCTGGACCGGATGCATTCTATTATCAACAGCCGGTTCAACCGGGGATGGTTTACTATGCCCAATAGGACGGGGCATCGTTTGGCGGATGGGGTCAACAAGGAGATGGCTGATGAATTTGGGAGGCGTTGCGAGGATAGCTGTGCGTCCATGGATAATCGAACACTGCCAAGAGAGGGGACTTTAGGCGATTACATCGTCGTCTGAGTAGCGAAATGGAGCACGACATCACACTTTAGGGTTGGTCTATCATCAGCTTCGGAGGATACAGGATTTCCATCATTATCCCAGGCAATCCAGCAACCTAACTTATCTACCTATTACCTCCATTAATGCACGACTATGTTCATCCTACCTACAACCTCTTTGAGTCACTAATGATTGCGACGATGGGGATGCATGCTTTTTTGTTTCTCTATAACGGGTTGGTTCGGTGGTTTCGGCGGCGGCACAACTGTTTTGTTCCTTCGTGTTGTTGTTATGTTGCAAGCGGCTTGATGTTCGGTAGTGATGTTCCATTGTCTCTTTCTTCTGTACGAAAATACCATTGCTGGCGACGGCCAATTTCATGTTAGATCTCAATGCGGACGAGTCCTCCTTTTTGCGTGCGTTGGTCAGCTTCGGCATGTTTCTGTTGACGTGTCTAATGTCGAACGCCCTTGGGGCTTGTCTGAAATTCAATGTTAAGATCGTGGGTGTTTTAAACCTGGCTTCTTCTGTTGAGTATGGCCTTCTTGTGAAGAGGGGCTTCTCGCGAGCCAACCTGTACGATAGTCTGCTTGATTTTAAAGCGTGTATATGAAACTGTACTCATTTGGCCTCTACGAAGTGCCATATGCCAGCTTCAATGATGAACGTACCAAAAGCACATTTCCTTGAGAGTTCAAAAGAAAAGGCGTGGTTACAGCAAAAAGGGGGTGATGACTTGCCAGGGTTAGGGTACACCGTGCAGTCAGTGTCACTTTCCAAGTCCACTGCAACTTCCATTTTCCAGGGCGTTCGGATCCATGTCCAACCCCACAATTGCCCGCGTTCCTTCTCCCGAAATGACGGCGATGGCTGTGCAAGAACGACTGTGAATATGTGTCCGTTTCAGATTTCAACATCAACCGGATCGTTACTTTATTATCAGGATATGATTCATGACTCATGAAGAGGTCAAATGAAAATACGAAGATGACACCGTGTTTGCTGATGTTATCACCGCTGCGTCCCTCGGGCGGGTGTTGGTTCGGATTTGATTTTGGGCTTTTTTCCAAGGGACGCACGCTCACGCTGGGTTCGGGCTGGGATGGAGATACGGGAAGGCAACGTAAACTTTCTTTGATAAGTATCAAGGTAGAGGTATAAAGTCAGCGCTCCTCTTGAACTTGACTTTCGTTATTTCTTTCAAGTGGTGGTGAATATCTTCAAGAATCGATTTTTCTTATACTGCTGCAACTGCAAAGAACTTGCACTAATCTCACCACCAAGGCGGCGCTTTGTCGATCAAAAAGCTCCATCTCCATCGCCTTTTTGGTTACTGCGTCATACCTCTCTCTAGCTTCAACGACGACGATAGCAAGACAAGCATAGAACACGGAAAGTCACAACAACAATACAACAGAACCCTCGATACGTCACGTCCAAGATGAGCGACAAGAAAACGGGCATCACCGTCTTCTCCGGAGGTATGTCAACCCGAAACCACCTCACCCAGTCACTGCATCAACTTCCCCGGACCCCCAGACTTCCTTCCCCACGTTCCTCTTTCCATCCCAAATCCCCAACCACCAACCCCATGGGGAACCTTGCTGGATACTTTTTAAGCTAACAACAACAAACCGCAACAACACCAAAGGCACCGCCGCCAATAGCCTTGTTGATGTATTCAACCGGATCATTGAAAAGAAGAATTGCCGACTTAATTACATCATTCCCATCAGTGACAATGGAGGAAGTTCTTCCGAGTTGATCAGGTTCATTGGAGGGCCGAGTGAGTGAGACCATTGCTATCTCACTGTGTGGAATAAGGGCTAATGATGATATGTACAATGAACAGGTGTTGGTGATATTAGGAGTCAGTTTTCTTCAACTCATATCAAGCAGAATATGACCTGCTAACAGGACCTAGGCCGTCTGGTCCGCCTCATCCCCAACCCCTCCAACGACCAAGAAAAAGCCGCCCTTAAGGCGCTCTTCGAGTACCGTCTCCCCGGCGACCCCTCGAAAGCCCGCATCGAATGGCTCGACATCGTCGAAGCCCGCCATCTTCTCTGGGCTTACATCTCTTCTCCAAAGCGAGAACTCATCCGGTCCATCCTCAACACCTTGAACCTCGAGATCGTCAAGCGAGCCCGACCGACGTCCACCTTCAACTTCGCCGAAGCCTCTATCGGCAACATGTTCCTGACCGGCGCCCGCATCTTTTCGGGATCCTTTGAGTCCGCCATCTATTTGTTGTCGATGATCTGCTCCATCCCGCCCAACGTCAACGTCTTACCAGCTATCAACTCCAATTTCACGCACCATATTTCTGCTGGGCTTGAAGACGGCACAACTATCGCGGGCCAGGTGGCTATCAGCCACCCGAGTGCTCCGACTGCGTTGCCAGATGACGTGAAGATCTCGCTCGCTACGCCCTCTTTTCCTCCGCTCCTGCATGGCGGACACGGCCACGGAGCCCCATCCTTTTCTTCCGCCGCAACCCTCCACCCCGCTGCCATGGCCATGGCCATTCATAACGGCCACCCTCCACCTCAACATTTAACCGTCCGCTCCAGCATCACCACGTCCACTGTTTCCACTGCCCCCTCCTCCGTACCCACCACATCCTCATCCGTCGCCACTACCCCCACCAAGTCCAGTTTTCCCCGTCCCGGCATAAGAGCCCGCTCCCAAACCGAAACAGAAGACGCCTCCCTCCCCGGCTCCCTCCCCTCTCTCCGAACGCAAAACATCTCCTTTTCCAAATCCGACTCCGACGAAGCCGACCAGCTCTCGGCAAGAATAGAGCGGGTGTGGTACATTAACCCCTACGGGCACGAGATCTGGCCCAACGCGAACCCAAAGGTGATCGACGCGCTGGCGGTGACGAAAATGGTGGTGTATAGCATTGGCAGTTTGTGGACGAGTATTGTGCCTAGTCTTGTGTTGAGGGGGGTTGGGGAGGCTATTGCTGGGGATGTTGATGCGGACATCGAAGGGGAAGACCAGGAAGGGGACGGAGAGGTAAATGGGAAGGTGAAGAAAGTACTGGTGCTCAACGCGACAATCGATCGTGAAACGGGACCCAAGTCAAAACCCATGACAGCGACGGATTTCGTTAGAGCGGTGGCCAAGGCCGGGGAGCAGAGTCGGAGGAGTGATCCTCATTATCATTATCGTGCTGAGGAGAATGAGTCTACCGATGCTGATGGTGGAGATTCAGAAGAAGAACGAGAAGGGCGGTTGTTGAGGAAATATGTTACTCATCTTGTTTACCTTGATGGGCAGGAAGTAGGTGGACGGCTGGCGAGGACGGGAACAGCGCCGAAAGTGGATGTGAAGGAGTTGGAAAGGTTGGGGATTAGGTGTGTTAGGGTGGAGGGTAGGATGCAGGAGGATGGGAAGGGGGTTAGGTATGATGAGGGTGGGTTGGGGGATGCTTTGGAGGGGATTATTGATGAGTAATGAGTAAGGAAGTGAGAGCTGGTTCTTATGAAGGGGTAGTTAGTGTTGGTGGAATTATGAGAAGTTTGATAATGGTAGTATTGTCTTGCCTCTGGTGATGTTCGTGATGTTCCGGATGTTCGTGAGTGAGGCTTGAGGGCTGGGGGTTTGGATGTTAGATAGAGAGGGAGGGTGGATGATATATATTTTCAGAAGGGTTTGGACGTTCTGTGGGAAGGGAAATGGCAAACTGATAGATGGAGGAAAACATCCTAGACCGGCCATTGACAGACAGATAGTACCCGTGACTCCTGTACCATTAATATCCATATGAAGTTTCCAAAGTTTCTTTCCAAATATTCGCTTCCAAGTTAATAAAAGGGTAAGACAACTAGGAACTCATCGAGCTCCCCGAGACATCTGAGGACGAACAGCCGGTAACAACTTGCGTGCCCTTCATCTCCGGCCTCCCCAAGAATCCGACATGTGGAAACAGATAAGAAAGTCGAATCCTCATGTACCTCTAGTGATTCTAGTCTCCGGTCTCAACCGGCTCACCAATGCTCGTGTCGATTGTCCACTGTCCACTGTTTGTTCACCCCTTTCAAGTGCCTATTTTCGATATGTTGCCATGGTAACGACGACTGCAAAGTGCCGAGGTCCGTTGTTGACTTGCCTCCATGACATTCACAGGGTGAAGCGTATCTCGAAAATAGGCGCGCGCTGATGGTCACTTCACCGTCAGCAACCATTTCTTGGTGGTGCCTTTCGGGTTGAGAGACGCGCGGTTAGTTGGTAGCATCCGGTGGATGGCAACCCTCGTCGTCGGCGAAACACAGGTCATTGATGAGGTGAAGTGACGATAGCTTGGCGGCTCGAGACGCTGACAGAAATGGCAGCCAGGCACGGCCCAGCGAGGCGCCGCAGCGGCACATTCAGAGCGGGGACAGGCTCGGGCAGGTGATTGACAGGTCCCCGAACCCGCTGTTTGGGAAACTTCTGTTGTGAGAACCTCGACGGACTTCCACTTGCTCCCGTCTTTATGTACACGTAATTGGACCCTTGGCACCTTTTCTTTTCTGTCTTTGTCTGACGACTGTGCCTCCTCCTGCCCTGGTGTCTGCTCTTTCCTTTAATTCGATAAACTTCCCCAAGAAAAGAATACGTGGAAGGCCGTTGACTTGTCATTTCCTTTTTCATGTTCTTCCAAGAAGCACATGCTCATCAACAAGCCGTGAATAGTGGCATCCGTTTGGGGCTCAGCTCCCCAAGTGGAACGCCCTGGAGACCTGAACATGGTCCCCAAGACCCCCTACAAGCGACACATGTGGAGCCGCTGATTGTTGCGCTGGAACCGATCAACGCCAATTTAGCGGGCTTGGGGGTGATCCTTGTGCATTTCCAGGGGATGCAAATCGGCAGTGTTTCCGCCGATAGCTCTACACGTACACTAGAGGTATGGACAGGGCAGTGGGCTTGTTGATGAATGGCGTCGCTAAAAACATCGCCAGTGACTCCCCACCCACTCTCGTACGTCTTGGAGGTCTTGGGACTGCTTTTGTTTTGTTGCCATTCATAGCTCATATTTAATGAGTGGCCTTGTTTCCTCCATATCCCGTGGTTGAGCCCATTCGTTGTTGAGCAGTTCCTTGTTTCGTTTTGTTTCTGCGGCAAGCGTCAGTTTCCCTTTTTTCTTTGCCTCCCGCAGCGGCCGCCCCAAGCAGGTCCCCTAGACGTAGAGGTACATACACGGAAGAGGTATCTTGATCGACATTGGTCGAGATTAAACTTTTTGGAAACTTCAACCCAACCAACTTCAACCCTCAAGACCAACGACTTCTCTAATACCTCTACAACTATTCTCTATTCACTGCCAGCAAACGCAATATTGGAGCGCATCACGAGTGTCCGATTCCTTTGACACTACGAACGCTAATCAGCATCGTCGTCATCATCATCATCATCATCACCCACATTAGTCATGGCATCTCTGACAGACCAATCGCCTGCAAACCCCATGTTCGCTACCTCGAACTCGTCGCGCCCAACGACTGCTGAGAAGCCGAATCTCAGTGCGCCAGTAGAACCCTTACAGACATCATCATCACGGCCACCAAGCTTTGTGCCATCGGGCAAATCAGTTTCGACTTCACACCAAGACGGCCCTCGCTTGTCAACAGGTGACAATGGCGTCGCCCCGCTCGACTTTCAAGGCTCTGTTGACAGCAACAACGACCTACCAAGTCTGGCGACCATAAAGAAGATGGAAAACTACCATGTCCTCGATCGCCATGGCAAGTCGCATACCTTCCGGAGTCTCTACACTGGCAAGCACGTTGCCCGCCGAGTCCTCATCATCTTTGTCCGCCACTTCTTCTGCGGTGTAAGTTCATGGGCTCTGTCTGACCCCTCCCAGACCCCTACTTTCTCTCCATGACAAACATCAGCTAACACACATGCTCTTGCAACCCAGCAATGCCAAGAATACCTCCGCACTCTCTCTGCCTCCATAACCCCCGACGCCCTCCTCAGGCTCCCACTCTCGACCTTCATCGCCGTCATCGGCTGCGGCGACCCACAGCTCATCGACATGTACGCCCAAGCGACCAACTGCCCGTTCCCCATCTACGCCGATCCCACACGCAAGTTATACCAGGAGCTCGGCATGGTACGCACTCTCGCGCTGGGTGAGAAGCCTGCCTACACGAGCAAGAACATTGTCAAAACCTCGCTCGATTCGATCCTACAAGGCATCAAGCAGATACCCAAGGGGCTGGTCAACAAAGCGGGAGACTTCAAGCAAATTGGCGGCGAGTTCTTGTTCGAGCCGGTGGACATCCAGAGTCCCGTCAATGTTGTACCATGGGAGGACATGGCAAGAACCCTGGAAAGGGCAACAAGAGAGAACAATGAAGCTGCTGCCGCTGCTGCTGAGAGGAAGAGAGACAGTTCCGGGTCAAGGCTAGAACCAGACTCTGACGACAAGGAGACTGGCAAGGGGACAATAAAGAAGGAGAAGAAGATCTTTGGCGGTCAAGGACACCGTCCGTCAGAGGCCAGCATCGACGGGAAGAACGAAGAGGACGAGGGCGAGGAGAAGAGAGTGACATGGTGTCACCGCATGAAGACGACGAGAGATCATGTCGAGATCCCTGAACTTATGGAGGTGCTAGGCCTTGATGGGCAAGGGGAGCCCATTAAGGACTCCAGGAGGTGGTCCAAAGCCCTGGAAACAAGAAAGGGAACAGGGCTTAGCATGGCGGGTAGGATGAATACTATGAAGGCTGAGGCGGGAGCGGGAGCTTAGGAAGGCTCTTGTTCTGCGTTCCCGCCGTTTGGAAGAAAAGGAAGTACGAAGAAGAAGACGAGGGAAGGTTCAACATCATCGGCGATGACGGGACGATGATGAGATAAGAAAGGAATTCGGTATAGGATCCTTACAAAGGAGGGTAGCAAGCGGGTGAAGAAGCCCAAGTAGTAGACTTGGTTGGCATGGGTGCATGGTGTCCTGCTTGTTTTTTTGTTCTTCATTTTGCTTAACTTAACTATTCCCACTCGGCATGGCGGCTGTACTTTATGCTCAACACGCAATTATGTCTATAAGCAAGCAAGCATGGTATTTTGAATCAGATCAGATTGATACACCCCGCCCCCGTTTTTGGTCCATGGATGGGTATTTGCTCGATCGACTATCCGTTTCCGTTTCTGTGCTGGTCATTATCGAACCATTGCCACATGGGCTTGCCAAGGATATGCTCAGGGGTTGTCGGATGTAGGCAATCTAACACTCGTCCGCAAGCAGCTCATGTCTTTTCTCTTCCATATGGTTGTCAGCTCGATGGGTTGAGGTGCTTCGCCTAGTCTAGCCCTGTCCAAAGGAAACCCGCCACCAGCGGTCGGCCATCCAGCCTATCTTACCGGAAGTGTCACCATTGTCACACGAGGTCAAACGTTCCTGGCTGAGACAAACCGTCGGAATAGATTTCGTGCTACGGGAGATCACTCTACCTAAAGGATCTAACCCCGCCTCTTGTACTCTCCTGTTTGCGGAGTTTACATCGACGATGTTTGTTTCTACCTATCCCCAACATTTGCACATCTGCCTCACATCTCAACGCTCGACGGTCGAAGCACACGGAGAGAATTCAAACAAGACGGTACGTACAAACTTGGTTGGTAGTATGTCCCCTAAAACAACACGAATAATTCTGGTTCATGCCTGCTCCGTAGCATGAGTTGAGTAAAAGTTCCACTCCAGCTCCTCTAGTTCGAGAAAAGGACGATCTCGAAGCCACAACCGGAAGTGTCAACACCGTCTTCCGCTCCAACTCGGCCACCCAAGCTTAACATTGCTCCCAAAGCCAACCCAAAGCCAACCCAAAGCGGTCAACTAAACTATTTTCTACGGACGTAAATCCTCCGAATTCAGTCCCTGTCAGAGCCTATGTCTCGGTTGGGTACGTAACCTTGCTCCTGCTCCTGCCGACGTCCTATGGCGTCTATCCAATTCCGCTCTTGATGTCCGATACAGTGTGGGCACAGCTGCATCTTACACGATCCGGTCTCTTTCACTCATATGCATGCAAAGTAACGTACGAAGAAGTAAGGCAGTAGTAGTGTTTATTAGTAACTGAAAGCGCTTTCCTCATAACGTCGCGCATTTATGCGATACATGACCGGCCGGAGAAGTGAAAAAAGAAAAAAAAAACACCAGCAGGTCTCGTCCAAAAAGGAGGATCCCAAGTTCCACCAAGACTTCCAAGTCACTTCTTTCCCAGGCCTAGGTAGATGTGTTTTCATTACAACCAAAGCTTGCTAGTACACTTACCTAGGTAGGGCCGTTCCAGGTTGAGTTGATGAATCCATACCCATGCTTCAACCCCCACGATACGTACCTGGCGTCAACTGGTCGACCGGTTTCCACCTTTCAACCGTCCCACGACGTTTCGGAGTCTCAGAGTCTCAAGAGTTTCAGAGTCTTGAAGTCTCAGAATCAGAACAGGGAGCGGAACATCTCTTCGCAAAAAGCCACAAAAAACCAAGCCATCCTTGTTGATTCCAGTCCTCGGAACCTGATGAGGCAGTCCACATGTTAGACAATGTTGGGTAGCGACACAGAATTACACAGCACGAAGGAAGGATAGTGAAAGGTGGAAACCGGAAGGCCGATGATAAACAAGGAACATAGGTATCCTGGAAGAATCAAAGACCAATCATCAGGAAGGAATCAAATTAGAAGCTGGCTGTAGTAGTAAGATAGATAGATGGCTTTGCTGTCCAGTCTGTCTTAAGATCATAGAACCCTCACCCACTGCACTTGGCGAAGTAACGGTTCAACCTCTTTTCTACCTGTCGGCCTTATTAGAGGAAAGAAACTCGAGCCTCCACTTGGACTATACGCTTCACATACTGCAACAAAGCTCGGTCACATCCAGAGCAAGATGATAACGCCCCTTTTGCGAAGCCAATAACGACTTTTGCCAGTTTGCCCATCAAGATGGCTACCTCTACTCTACCATTTCAATGCCTCACCTCCTCCCCCTCCCTCCCTTCAACAACCGGCCTCGGCATCCGCCTCTCCTTCTACCTCCTCTGGTTCGGTCTCATCCCGGCAACTCTCCTCCGATCCGCCTCTCCAGCACCCTACACCGTTCTCCGAGCAACTCACGCCATTCTCTGCTACGCCGTCTTTATCGGCCTAGCAATGAAAGTCGCCTCTCCCAGCTCAGACACAGCCTACTTCGGAGCAGCAGAAGTGTACATCGCCACCTTGCTTGTAAGCGGTACCGCGTATCTCACGTTGGGAGCGGTATTTTGGACGAGCGTAAACCGATGCTTGGGAACAAACAACAGGAAAGACGAAAAGCGGAGTAAAAGCAGCAAAGCTAAAGCAAAAAGTACCAGGAAAAAAGAAAGGGAAGGATGTGATCTGCTGGCAATCATGGAATTCCTCCTTCTCTTGATGGTGTGCGGGTTTCAGCTCTGGTTTTGGTGTTCCGGTATACTTGGGCTCGCAAAACGTCGAGACGAGAAGACATGTGGGAAACAATACGGATTCTTGTTCGCCAAAGCAGATTTGGACAGCGTCGGGTTTAGAGCGTTCAATATTGCTGTTGTGTTGATAGTGTTAGTGGGCGGGGTGGTGATGGGCGTGAGAAGTTTGAGCGGTGGGGGAGGAAGGGAAGAGAAGAAAAGGAGGAAGAAAGGGAGGAAGGAAAATGGGTAAGACTCCTCCTCCATCCTGTTGCTTGGTCGGTATTGACATCAAGCTCCCATGCTAACCTGTATCACCACCTAATGAAGTGGGTCGGCGATGAAACACCTCCAACTCCCCATCAACCTCCTCATAACCACCACCGTCCTTGTAGCTATCGAGCTCTCAATCCACTGGGACCGCCTCTCTGTGCTCCCTTCGGAAATCAACAAAATTAACACCGCGTCACAACTTATTCCGCTCTTGTTCTGCCTGGTTCTCATAGCTGCTTGTATCGTTGATTGGTTTTCTTCATCAACACGTGACAGGCCCTCTAGCCAAAAGAGCAACCGTTCCAGCCGGAGCAGCGGTGGCCGGGGAAGTCGTACCAGTGGCAGCGGAGGAAGCGGCAGCGGCGGCAGTGGAAGTGGTGGAAGCACCAGAAAAAACCACAGGAAAGAATCACATCGTCGCCATCATCGTCGTCCTTCACACTCCTCTTCTACAGCAAGCAGTACAGCTAGCAAATCAAGCCCAGGACCGTCACCAACGCGATCGAATGGAGGTAATATCTTTCCTCCAGCACCGCCACCTCCAGCTGCTGGGCCGGGAGGTTTCCGGCCTCCCCCGATGCCGCCAATGCCGGGTATGCCACCGGCTCCCTTTCACCCGTTTCCTCCATTCCCTGGCGCAAGACCGCCAGGTCCTCCGATGCCGCCGGTACCGATGTTTGGTGGTGCATCCGAGACAAGAACGGGGAGTGCAAGCGGGAGCCGTTCCGAGAGGGAATCTGATCGAGGATCAGAGCATGAGCATGGGTCAGGTGATGACCGATCCTATCACTCCCATTCCCATTCTGAACACGAAGAGGAACACAGCAGAAGAGAGGAAGAAGAGGAAGAAGAAGAAGGTGATTACCACGCAGATAGCATTGATGACGAAGAAAGGGGTAGTGGTGGTTCTGCGCCGCCTCCACCTGCACCTGCACCGCCTGGTGCGTTTCCTTTCCCTCCCATGCCATCACAACCACCACCACCGGCAGCACAATTCCCAGGTGCATTTCCTCCTCCGCTGCCGCCCGGATTTGGTGCCCCAGGCGGAGGAGGAGGAGGAGCTGCTCCGCCTCCGGGAATGATGGCGATGGGAAGAGGAAGCGGTGGTGGTGGGCCGCCGGCTTTCTTCCCTTTTGCTCCTCCTCCGGGAGGGGGCGCGGGAAGGGGAGGGATGGTACCTCCGCCGTTGCCGCCGGGGTTCGGTCCTAGGTGAATGTAGACAGGGGCAGCGGTTTCACGATCGATGGTAGTTCATATAAAGAGCATAGCGAAGCTTCAAATGTTTGTTTTGTGTGAATTATATTTATTCATCAGGTTGACAACCCCATTTCCAGAGGCGTGTCCAACCAAGTCTCATATCCCATATCATGTCGTCGTTCGTTATCGTAATTCCTTAAATCCCAACAAACGCCGTGTGTGATGATGTCCATCGGTGGTCGTCAATCCTTCCAGGTTGATCCATCTATCCATGCATCCATCACACCATCATGATGCTCTTCCCTTCCATTAACTTGCTTCCCATTACGCAGCAAACATTGCCGCTATACCTCCCATTCCAGTGTCGCGATATTCTTGTTTGTCATCTTTACGAAGACTTGTTATCCTTCTCGCCCTTGCCAATGTTGGACATGTCAATGTTTGCGCCGTCGGAAGACGTGGGCTCACGGAGACCCGAGGTGACACCTGGGCCGTTGGAAACGTCGCCGGAGAAGCGGCCGCTGCTGACGTTGACGTTGCGCTCGTCGGCGGATTGCCAGTCGGATGCGACGGGGGGCTGCTCGGGGAGGGAAGGTTCTTGCGGACCTCCTCGATCTTGTCGGCCTTGGACTGGGTGGACATTTCTGCGGTGGGAGTTAGTTGTGTGTTTACTTGGTGATGGCTTAGTTGTCGAGAAAGAGGAAAGCTTACCGGTTGTGTTTATATTTGACGTGTTGGAAAAAAAGCGGTTTGGTGTGGTTGCTTTGCGCTTTGATGATTTGGTTTGATTGTACTCGTTGATATTCTGTGATGTATCGAAAGAAGTCCTGCAAAGTGATTGCTGATTCCTTATACAAGTCCCTCCAACAGTCCTTCCTCGAAGCTTCGATTTGGGTGTTTGCATACAGAGAGAATAAAGTCAATTGATGATTTCAGACTGAATATGACGTCATTGACGTCAACATTATCTCATAGTGGACATCATGATGTTCCCCACCGCTTAAGGCTAGCTTTCCCGCTGTGGGGCGCTCTTTTGGCGGCGGCAGCCCCGCCAAGACTCTGATCATCCCAGGGGTCCACGGCAGGGGCTGCCAGCACTAATAATTCCCCAAAGGAAAGATCTAGCAACTGTAACATCCAAGGTTGGACATTTGCCGGATGGCTTCGTCCCTGCTTGAAGATATAACCGGTAAGGGCCCTGTCCATCATCAATGAAACATCTGACGGTGACATCTACAGTTCCATAATCTTCTCCGGTCCTGTAGATCAGTCTCCACGCCGCGTCAGACTGTCAGCAGATCGCCGTGTACTTGTACACTAGACTCTCAGATTTGTTGCATAACTTGGAGTGGGTTTCCGATAGAGAGCATGATGGACGCGAGATATATAAGATACTCCCTGACCAACACCTACCACAGTATTCGCAGATATCATACGTATACCTACCTCTAGGTAGACCGGCTAGACTACTAGGTAGTAAGGACCCCCTCTACACTACGATTTCTAACACACCTTTACCATTTCCGCTCCAGACCGGACAGGTGATCTAGTGACTTTTCAAGGCCCCCGTCAAATGGGAGACCGCTTTGCTATCAAAATCTGATCAAGTAAATCGTTGTTAGTTATGGGAAGGGTGACAAGCGAGGCGGCATCTTATGTGGTCATTACCTCTAGGGGTTGGGACTTACTTGAAGGAAGTGCTATGTGGATTATGGAAGGTATGGCTGACAGTTGGCCCCAAGACTAACCCAAGTATTCCAACACATAGATAAAGATTCAGGAAATAGGATTTCCAATGGTTAATGCACACCTGTCACTGACAATCCGAGGTCCATATGCATGGTATCCCAAAAGTGCGAACATGAACATCAGCATGGCGTGGAGTTAAGCTGATTATCGCCGTATGTTCTCGATAATGCACTGGTGTTCAACCAGGGCTAATACATATACACCAAGTTATCACCGAGCGACGATATGTGGCATGGTGGTTATGCGACGGGCCGTGTGACCATTACTGTACACTACTCGCGTAGTCCCCTCCATACTTTCCTTCCATACCTTCCTTCCGTACTACCTTCCTTCACCCACTTATCGGACGGAATTTAACCCCCACTTGCTTTAATAAGTGACCAATCCAACCGAAAGTAACTGGATCTCCTCGGGACCGGCCTACCTACTTGTACGGGTAGCTCAACTGGTTCCATCATAGGGTCTCTCTTTAGTGTGTCGCACAACCCGGCTCACGAAGAGGTCCCGCGTTCGACTCGGTTGCACGTCACGGATTTCTTTCGAGCAATTACCTATACCTAGGTTAGGTAGCTGGGATTTTCTGTGAGTCGCTAAAGACAGCGTTCTTCCGATGCCCCCTCACTAGGGGAGTAGTAGGGTATTTGCTACTGTGAATCTTGATTTCTTTTTTTCTTTTCTTTCATCTTTTTTTCCCCCGCAACAGACGTAACATCCCCTCCTTCAAATACGGATTTAGGCCATCAAAGAATCACCCCTAATATCTCTCCATAATCCAATTCCTCCTCTCCTCCTCGCCCATCTCCGCCAAGAACTCCATCTCAAACTCCTTGACATCGCAATACCTCTCCACCACCTCCTGTCCGGAAAACCCCACAAACTCCTCATCCCCCCTCAGGGCAGTCAACGCCTCCTCCACGCTCGCAGGTAACATGTCCTTGACGCCCAACTCCGCCCGATCATTCGGTGTCAGCTTCGCGGGATCAATCTCACAGTCTCCCCACGTCAGCTTCTCCCCATCCATGTACCCGTGGATACCAGACAGCAGCACGGCGGCCATGGCGAAGTAAGGGTTGGCTAAGCCGTCCATAGCTTTGAACTCCCAGTGTGAACCCTCAATCTTGCGGAGGGGGGTTTCCCGGTTCTGGGTGCCCCAAGTTACCCAGCGGCCGCCGGCCCAGGCACCGTCTCTGAGACGCTCGAAGGAGGCTGGGTTGGAGTAGGTGAAGGCTGTGATGGCGCGGAGGTGCTTGAGAACGCCGGCGTAGAAGGGCTCGTACACCTCGGGCTTGTCGCCGCCGGGGGAGGAGATGCTCATGTGCGTATGGCAGGCGGTGCCGCATGCGGTTGCGAAGGGCTTGGGGTGGAGAGTAATCTTGTAGCCGGCGGCAGTGGCAAGGGCGAACATGACGTCGCGGGTGTGCAGAAGGGTGTCGACGGCTTGAACCGGTGGGTAAGGGGGAAGAACAAGCTCGAACTGGCCGGTTGCGGACTCGGCATGGAGTTGTTCGACGTAGATGCCCATTGAGTCGAGGGCATGAACCATGTCGCGCAGGAGCTTGGAAACCTTGGGATCGGCAAAGTAGCGAGACACAGACCAGGCGTGGCCATCAGTGGTCAAGGTGCTGAAACGGCCTGAGGCTGAGGCCTCTGATGGGCGGTGTTTGAACGGATTTAAGGAGTTCAAGGATAGTGTTGCTGAGGTATCCGCACCCTCTACTCTTTCGAGCAGAAGGAACTCAATCTCGAATCCAAGCAAGAAGCTCAATCCGTTATCGGTGCCCAAGTCTACGGCCTTCTGCAGTAGTGACCGGGGGCACAGGGCAACGGGGGCTCCGGATTTCTCACGGAACTCGCCATACATGCTCACATGCCCTTCGGTAGGACCAGGACGAAGCGACGAAAAGTCCGGGTGCAGACGATACTCCCCAGTAGGAGCGAGAGTCGGAACGAGATGATCGTTTTGAATGAGCCCAAATACAGCTGTTGGGATGGAAATGTCGGTTGATTTGCCTTGTTCGAACAAGGACATGAACTTGCGGAAGGGGACCATGCGCATCCGTGGAGTTGCAGTGTAGTCAATCCAGCAGATACGGATAAAGTCAGGAGCCGGTTGGTCCTTTAGGAAGAGCTGGAAAAGCTCCAGGTCGCTTGCGTAGGGTCCGACCTCAGCACATGGCTCTTCATCGAGCTCAACAAAGTCTATGTCGAGGTGGTAGAGTTTGTTGGAGTTTCGGAAGAGCATGTCACGGACAAGTTCGATGGCGGCTTTGTATCCGATATGTCCTTTGCGGACATAGTTACTCAGTACCTGTAGTCATGTTAGCCTTGGCCTCCAGCAACGATATTTGTCTAACTCACGTTTGTGAACACCTCACGCATTTGGGTGATGGCAAGTAGATAGGTCTCGGGAAACCAGTGACCATCTGTGCTCCACAAGATCTTTGACCAGGGGCAGAGCTCGATGATTTGTCGTAAGACCTGCTCCTGACCATCTTCGCTGATGCACGGGAATACTTGGCCAATATCGGCATAGACATGCTCATACACGCTGGCAAGATAGCCAACCTCTCTCATAAAGGGGTACCCAGCATGAAGGAGCACAATGGGCACAGTTGGGTATGCGCGAATGAAGTCCTGCAGATGGGATGGCGATGACTTGGCAAGGGTGATGTCGTTGTCTCCCAGGCCGGTATGGAACTGAATAGCCTTCTTCAGCTTGGAAGGGCTATCGCGGATCAACATGGCCGTACGATGCACAACCAAGTCATTCAGATTGTCCTCTTGCAGCTTGGTAAAGTCCAACAGGGCAAAGTTGGCAATGATCTCTGCAAAGGCAGTGCGAGCTTCAACTTCATTGACGGCGCTTTTAATATCCAGGCCGGTACGGTAGCAGATGACGGACTTGAAGGCTACCACATCGGGGTCATCGATAGCTTCGTTGACTATGGTGTCGAACGCAGCGATCCAGTCGTCGTAGGCATCATTCAGGACATCGTTGCCGGTCTTTGGCGAAGCATCATATGTCTTTCCAATTTTCTTGATGATATCTGCAGCCACTTTTTCAATGCGTACAATACGTTTGCATTCGGTACGGGTATAGTCATTGTGCCAGACCATGTCTTGGGCGTCATCTTCGTTGTCGAGCCCATCGTCGAGGAGCAGTGTCTCGATTCCCTCTAGACACTGGGCGGTCCATTCCAAAGGGAAGTCGATGCGCTTTTGCTCAATGGCAGCAACCACTGCCTCCCATGTGTTGTTACACTTGAGCAGTTCAGACAGCTGTCGAACGGCACGGAGATGGGGGAGGGAGTGGATGGCGGAGTGGACAGCATCGCCATTATGTGCTTCGGAGGTGATGGACAGCAAAGGGTGCTTGCTGAGAGCTTCGAGCTTCAGAAGAGGATGGGCATGGTTGTCGATGATGGGTGTGTTGCGGATGGCGCGAGCAAGAGCTTCCAGTTGTGAGGGTGTCGCCGATGAGCGAGCACCAACCCAAGCCGTGTTCATCTTGAGAAGTTGATTGTCCGTCTGTGTAGTTCGTTGCCGGTTATGATCGTCCGTCGTGAACTCGTGATGGGATTGTTGGGATGTTTGGGGAAGGATGTCAGGACGGTCCTCTTTTCCCGTGGTTACGGAGCTCTGACGTTGAGGGGTTCTGCATGGTTGCAGCTGAAGGAAAGGCAAATGGCGACCGTCCGATCATCTTCTCCCACATTGCGCTTTGTCTCTCCGTTGATGGAGCATTCCGTAAGGTGAGGCAGGTGCAATGTCTCTCCCGTGCATTAGCAGGTGGATTCGCCTTCCGTGTTGTCACACAGCAGATCCAGTGTTCCGATTGCATTCTGCACAAGAGAGGGGAAGCTCGAATGGCCAAGATCAGAAAGGGTCATCTTGGGCAAATCAGGGAAGTTGTACGTGGAAAGGGTGAAGAGTTACAACGAAGCTATATAGGTATGGACTTTGAACGAAGAGTCTCCAAGAAGAAAAGATGGACAAGGAAGACCCTGAGATCAGAATTCGAGGGTCTAGGGTTTAAGGAGCAAGCTCCGTCGTGTGGGGTTGACCTCCGCTAGTTCCACTCCTTGTAGGTGACCCTAACCCTGGAAGCGGGGTACTGCGTAGAAAATGTGCTGCTTTCAGTCAGGTGTTGGCCGACCTCAAACTGTTTCCGAGCAACCAACCACGCCGATTTCAAATACTTATCGCAACAGCCATGTTTGCCCGGGACCACAAATTAGAGGCAAAGCATCTTGTGGCTGGCTGCCGTTTGGTGCCGTTCGAGTGCTGTTGAACTTGCTGATCATGGTGTTCTTGGCAGGAGATCGCCCAGTCCGAGTCGGGCTCTAGCGTGGGGAAGAAGCTTGTTTTCTGAACAACAGGCCAACCCTTGTTCCATAAGTTTTCGAGATTGATCGAAATATCAACTGCCATCAACGAGAGAATGGGAAGTGAAGGTATGTCGAAGAACACCGCGAGCGAGAGACATCCGGAGCAATATTTATGGTCACCAACTACTCCCGTACCGAGAAATGGTGGTACGCCTCGAAACAATGGTTGCCATTCTGTTATCAGGCATGTCCACTTTATCTACAGCATCTTCTCACGCTCTGTTCTGCCCGCAGAACGATCCAGTTTGATCAACCCATCCCATGCCCGGGGCTGGACCAACGGGTACATTAAGTTCCTGATTAAGTGGTAGTGCCGCGTTAACACTCCCTCGCATTCTGCTAATGCTTATCATGCCAACACTAACAAGCACAATGTAACCCGGAGCGTTCCTGGTACCTTGGAATGATGACATGCTGTTTATCCCATCCACTGCCTATCCATCCCATCTTCCCGTCGGCAACAACACGGATGTGGGTGACGCACCGGCAGAGTCTGCTCGCTGCAAGAAAGTTGGGGTGACAACTGGAACTGCACTGCCATCTGCAAACTTTTATCTGGTTCCAGGTTGATAGCCGGTGGTGGTACATAGGATTCTCTCGTTCAATCTTTCCCCCAAAGTCATTCCCCATCCACCACTGCGCCTTTGTCCTCGTACCACAACAATACGAAAAGACGACAACCGATGGCCAACATCTAATTGAAAACCAACACTCTTCAACCATCACGCTCGTTTCTTTAAATTTGTTTTCAGTCGCTCGCTATTGTCAGCCCACCATCACCATGTTCTCGACATTACAACGGCTTGCCGCCGTCGCCCTTGTTGGGGTTGACGTCGCAAATGCAGCCTTTAGCGTCGCGTCAGTCGGTACGTCTGGTCCATCTCCAACTCGCAGAAAATGAACATTAGTAGTGCTGACAGAATATGCGCAGCCGACATCAAAAAGACAGCAGCCGACATCGCATTCGACATGATGCAATACTACAAAGGGAACTTGACGGGACAAACACCAGGAATTCTTCCCGGCCCTCCTCCAGCCGGTGATTACTATTGGTGGGAAGCAGGAGCAATGTGGGGGACTTTGATCGACTACTGGAGGTTTACTGGCGACGAGTCATACAATGAAGTTACCACCCAAGCCCTTCTCTGGCAAGTCGGTCCAGGACAGGATTATATGCCACCCAACGTCACGGCATCCCTAGGCAACGATGATCAGGGCTTCTGGGGAATGACGGCAATGACAGCCGCCGAAAACAACTTCCCCGATCCGCCACCCGATCAACCACAATGGCTGGGCCTCGCTCAGGCTGTCTTCAATACACAAGCACACCCTGACAGACACGACGAGACCTGCAACGGTGGATTGCGATGGCAGATTCCCCCGCTCAACAACGGATATAACTACAAGAACAGCATTGCCAATGGTTCGTGATGAGTTTGGGCACTTGGAATACTTCGTGAACATAAACTGACCCAGCATGGCAATAGGCTGCTTCTTTAACCTCGGCGCAAGACTGGCGCGCTACACCGGCAACAAGACGTACGCCGACTGGGCCGAAAAGACGTGGGACTGGATGAGGGGTGTTGGGCTCATGGACGACGATTACAACATCCACGACGGCGCCCACGTCGAAAAGAACTGCACCGATGTCAACGGCGCTCAGTTCTCCTATAACTTTGGCGTCTTTACCCTCGGTGCCGCTCACATGTACAACTACGTATGTTGGTCCTTCTTCTCTCTGTTGATATCAATACTAATACCATAAAAGACCGACGGCTCCCCCGTTTGGAAAGACCGCCTCGACAAGCTCGTCAACGCCACCCTCGTCCGCTTCTTCCCCGAAAAGATCGCCTACGAACCCGCCTGCGAAGACGGCATGACGTGCACAACCGACATGCTCTCCTTCAAGGGCTACGTGCACCGCTGGCTCTCCACCACCACGCAAATCGCGCCACACACGGCCCCTATCATCCTGCCCGTACTCAAGGTATCGGCCGAAGCCGCCGTCCAGACTTGCACCGGCGAAGCAAGCGGCCGTATGTGCGGGTTCAACTGGAGGAAGAAGAAATACGACGGCAGTCATGGCGTGGGACAGCAGATGAATGCACTGGGGGCGGTTTCTGCACTACTGATCAATCAGCAAGGGACCAAAGCGCCGGTGACGAATACTACCGGTGGCACCAGCAAGGGGAATCCGAATGCGGGAAGCCAGAGCGATAGCTTTGGAGCGCATAACAGGCCGATATCGACGGCGGATAGGGCGGGCGCGGGAATTGTGACGTTCTTGTTGTCGGCGGGTGCGTTGGGCACGTTTGCGTGGATGGGCCTTGGTAAATAGGAGGACCGGGCTGATCAGACGACGAGTGAGGCGAGGGAGGAATGTCCAAGGGAGAGAAAGGTATTGGTGCCGAGGGGAAGGCTGTTGGTAAAGAAGGGCAGAAAGGATCAGAGAGAGACGATTGGGAGTGATGATACTTTGGTTGCTAGTGCTGAGAACTTGGGGAGGGTTTGAGGGTGGGTTGGCAGGTCTGGTTTTCATGTTCCTTGTTCGGGGCCCGCCGTGTCAGTGCTCTTCTTGACTAGAAGTGTCTTGGGAGGAGACACTCTGATTTCACATATCTCTTTTTTTTTTTCCCCTTTGGTAGGAGTTTCGCGTTAGCAGGCAGGGTTGGTTGGCAAGGCGTTGACGGTTCATATCCTATCATATGTGTTATGATTCAACTGTTTGGAAGGAAGATGATGGGTTATGATGATTCAGGGAACGGAAGGACTAAAATGAATGGAAAAGAGGGCTTTTATCTCTCTGCGTCTGTTAGTTATCAGTTGCACTCTTTCAAGTTGAAGCGTAGGTATTCCTCGCTTACATACATAGTTGTCTCCATCTCCTTCTTCTCTGGAGATATAATTACGAATCACATGAAAGTATTTATCTTGGGACATCCGACTCGTGTGTCTCTCCAGTGAATTCTCTTGGTTCTTCTCTAGTACTCTACACCATCGAGACAATATCAAAGAGTGTCTCCAAGGTCTAGACCCCCGTTCTTCTTGCTTGCTTGTCGTAAGGAGGTACCCACCCGTGAACCTCCAGGTGACGCCATCCCGAACCTTATTTCCTCGCCAAGATGCTTGGTTCTCTTGGTTCTCTTGGTTCTCTTGGTTCTCTTGGAGTTTCATGATGCTCCTCACTTTCAGCTTTAAAGCGTACGTACTGTGGGCACTTTCTCTAGTCTGAGTGGCCGTTACACTACTGGTCTCGTTTCCGTACAATCTTTTCAGTATTCATTTAGGTACTCAAAGCTGTCGTGGTGTTTTCGTACTTGGCGGCGTATTCGTAAGCATTGTATGGAACTTTAGAAAATCTGGACCGCTGGTGGCTGCACCAGTGGGCAATATGTCAAGCCATGCAGCTTGGGTTGCAGGTGTGCCTGGCCCGGTGTTGAAGCATGCAATGGAAGTGCACCATTCAGCAGCTGCACTCACTGTTAGGTTCAGTTCAGGGGTACTGCGTGTTGAGACGTGCAGGGGAAGCGCCATGAACGCTAAAGCTTTAGGGCTGTTTCGAGTGCTTCCATCTCCCCTTCCCCGCGTGTTCGTTTTCGGGATGTTTCATCTTCAACGTCCAGAGGGCATGCATGTTCTCCTGGAGAAGGGACAGAACGAAGGATTGGAATCTTTCGACAAGTATTTCTTCAGAATATCCTCTCTCAAGACCGACATCTCGCAAGTGTTTTTTGTCTTCATTACAAAAGGGAACCGCACACTCCAGACTACCCGGACCAGCTTCAAATCCCAAGACAGCCACAACGACGACTCAAGCCCGCTCCGTATTCACAATGCCCATCCCATTACCAGACCAACTCACCACGTTCTCTTCTCTCCCAACCCCCAATGAACATTTCGACGACAGCCAAAATGGTAAAGACAGCTACCTCCTAGCAACCATAAAATCAAACCTCACCATCACCAAACCCACCCTCATCCTGACCGATATCAGCAACCAAGACTTTGCCCTAGTCTTCGATCCCCCTTTTACCGTCTCTGAGCCTAGAAACCCAAATGCTGTTGCGGAAAGGTTCAAGGAGTTGGGATTGAAGAAGGGGAGTACGGTGATTATTAGGAATGCAAGGAGGACAAAGACAGAAAGGGAGGGTGGGCAGGGGTTTGTTATTTTGAGTTCACTGGGACGACTCGCGGTAGCAGAGGACATGGAGGCAAGGACAAATAAAGAGGGTGAGGAGACAGGAAAAGAAGGGAATGGGAATGGGGGAGATTTGTTGGGGGTAGTACCAGTGCCATTACAAATGACGAAATCAACGCTGGAAATGCTGCGACAGAGGGATGAGAGTACCTCTAGTGCCCCCGAGGAACATGAAAGGGAGGAGAAGATGTGCGATGGGAAGTTTGATGGCTGTACGACGCCGGAAGGTAAGGAGAGGAGGGGTTTACCTGGAGGGGGGCTGAAGAGGTGCCAGGCGTGTATGGAAGTTTGGTATTGTTCCAAGGTGAGTTCTCCCTCAAAAGATGATGATGGGTGGGTTGGGGGAAGACCTAAGAGACGGGAGAGATAAATGAGGCTGATGAATATGAATCAAAACAAATAGGAGTGTCAGACCAGGCGGTGGATTGCACATAAAGATGAGTGTAAGGCTATTAGAGTGCTAAGGAAGATTTGGCCTAGGCCAGAGGGTGTGGAGTGAGTTCATCGGGAGAGACTGGGCTTTAAAATAGTATTATGCGCTGTAGACGAGAAGGGAAATGAAACAGCGGGAGTTACGAAATACGACCGAGCCTAGTTCCCACCACCGGCCTCCTTCAGCGGCTTGTCATTGTCTGCCTTCTTCTCACCCTCTCCATTTCCCTCCACTTGCTGCTCCTTCTGCCCGTCGATCTGCTCCTCATTTTCCTCCCTCTCCTCCAAAATCTCCCGATACATAATATCCGTCCTCACTGAATACTTCACCCCCTTAATCACATCCGCGCCCGCATGAAACACCCTCCTATGCTGAAAGATCAGCACCCTGCCCGTCTTACACTCAACATCATACTTCCTCTTCTCGTCGCCAGACAACAACGCCGTGGCACCGCCTTCCAACTCCGTTTGGTCTTTGAGGTCCGGTGGAGCCTCGGACTTGCAGTCGTTCAGGTACAGGTGGATAGTGAATAGTGTCTCGTTGATGCGGTCGGAGTTGACGGGGTCGAGTTCCCGGTAGGGGGAGTCGCAGTGGGCTGTGTTTTCATAGCCATCCTGTCAGTCATCACCCATTGTTTCGAAGGAGAGAAAAGACGGGAAAAGGAAAGGGGAAGCGGGTAAGTGGAAAAGAAAGTCACCTCTAAAAAATTGACCAGGCGAGTACCTCAAAAACCTCATCCTTTTATTAACCTTCACAAACTCCCACTTGCCCGTCCTCCCATCCCTCATCAACCTATTTGTCTGCTCCCTTAGCCTCGTACGCTTTCCCTTCTTCTTGCCATTCGCATACCTCTCCACCTCCTTTGGCTCTCCCTTACCCTCCCCATCCCCAGCTTCTTCCTTCCGAAGGGGCATCCCGGTAATAATCCTCGCATCTCTCTCAGTGTCTGCATCTAACACCGCTAGTCGCTCGCGAAGTCCAGGAGCAAGACAACATCGCTCCCAAAGCCGATCGACAACCTCTTGCTGGTCCCAGATTATACGTGACGAGTTGCGGTAGGAAGGGGTGTGCACTTCGTAGCCTAGGCCTACGTTGACTAGGGCTGGTGCCCAGGGGGTTTTGCCTCGCTTATCAGTGTCCTCCTCTCCATCCATAGTTCCCGTTGCTGAAGTCCCAGTCCCGTCTTCTCTCTCGACAACAACCCATTTCTCAAGAGGAACACTCCCCTCCGCCAACTTTTTCAGAACCTCACACTCCTCCCTTGTCAACACTCCATCAAGAACCACGGCGTATAACCCTTTATTTTCAGGTAACTCGGTTTGCGACCAATCTAGCTCTGTTAGAGTCGGGGGAGTGGTAACGCCCGGTTCGGTGGCGAGAAATCCGGGCGGAAGCTTAATGGGGAGGGATTCGTAGCTGGTCTTGATTGCTTGGGGAGGAGCCTTGTTTTTGTGGATGTTCTTTGGCGGGGCGGCGGGAGCGTGGGATGGGGTGACGATACTTTTGAGTTCGGCGAGGAGGGAGGACATCATCGTGGCGGTTGGTGTTCAGATGAGTTAGATGATGGTAGAGAGGTATGAATATGAAAGAGGTAGATGATCTGATGGCTGAGTGAAGTTGTTGAGGGTATATTGGGGTGTCGTATGGTGAGTAGGGTACATAGGTAGGCTGAAGCTGGAAGTTGGCTTGTAGTTGGAAAGACGGTGTAAGTGTTCGAGATGATTCTAGTTGGTGGATGAAGGAGGAACAACACAAAAACAATTGAATGATGCTTTATAACATCTGTAGATAACAACCAGAAAGGAATATGTGTGGAGAGTGAAGAGAACAGATTCCCCTCGACCAATTTCTAGAAATGATGTCGAAGAGTCACAGGAGGCGCAGTCACTAAACGGTCCACTATTCTAGGTAGAACCGTGCAGTGAACATCCACGATGGCTGCCTAGAGTACCATCCCGGTGTACACCTCTTCTGGGATGTAACTTGCTAGCTTGGTACGTTGATCTTACAGGAAACAAGGGCAAATTAGTGACCGGACCAGAGATTTCTTGTGTGAAATTTAAAGTTCTCGCCACCACCAAAAAACCATGCTAACAAGTTATATCCCAGAAGAGGTGTACGTCTCAGATTCTGGCTGTGAAGTGTCCTCAGCAATGAGTGATAGCGTGACGATCAGTGACCCATGGTTGATGGCCGTATTTCGAGAGTCGAAGTGGAAGTGGAACCACAATGCCCCTTTTCACGATGTAAACAAACCAGCTACCATATGACCATCGGCATGGAAGAGTGAGCGAGCCATCCTCAAGTCTCAACCTGGCAGGCCTAGCATTTACAGCTACCACACTAACGAGCTGGATAGAAATCTCCTTGACATGGCTCAGAAAGCAACGGTAAAGACGTGATAGGTTGGAATAAGTTGTCACATGTTGAGGAAGAAGGCCAAGGAACCCATGCACAAAACCCTAACCCGAACAGTCTCATAGGCCTTGTCCGAAGTCGCCCGAGGACCAATTGACATTTTCAGTGGCGGCAAATTCCCCACGGGCGGCAATGCGCCGCTCCCGAACCTGTCGATGTCATATCCTGAATCTTTTATCTCCTTGTTTGTATGTATCTGATCTTTCGAATTTTTGCATGAACCCCTGTTTCTTTCGTCACGACTTCCATTGTCCGCCCGTTCGCAACGCCGACCGCCAGATTCTGGTCAGGATCTAGCGAGGACACTCTACAGCATAAACGATCCCTACTACCTCTACGGCCTCCTTAATTGTGCGCGCAATGCCCAGCTCATGATCTAACGATAACCGACGACGAACGACCTAATTCTACGCCTTCTTGTCCATATACTAGTTGTTAACAAACGTCTTATAATATGCCAGCCCAAACTTCCTTCGCGCTTAGGCGCCTGCAGACGCTCAATGCCCATGTCTATGCGCCTCTCCGACGAACTGGTACCGGCAGGATAACGAACGGGTCATGGACGTGCGCAAGCTGTCGCAGCAGCCAACTTTCTGCTTCTTCCTACAACTCGACACTTATCCGACGATCCTTCTCCGCCAGCTCGAAACGATATACCAACCCAAACCAGAACGGCTCCTCATCCTCGAACACCAACGGCAATGGCAAAACAAGCAATGCCCGACGAACAATGCTGCTAGCAGCCGGTGGAGGCGCAGCGACCGCGGGAGTACTGGCGTTCGGAGATGATATCAAGTACACATACGAAGCGGTGGAGAGAACGGGGAGGGTGGCGACCGCGCTGGCGGCTTGTGTGAACGATTACCGGAAGACGCTGAACGCGCGAGAGAAGATTGAGGATCCGGAGGAGAAGCAAAGATTGCTGAGGGAGTGTCACCAGCGGTGCGCGGATCGGACGTTGGAGGTTTTGGAAAAGAGTGGTGGGATTTTCATCAAGTTGGGACAACATTTGGTTAGTACACCTGGAGGACAGATATATAGGAAAATGGGAGAACAAATGCTAACAAACAACAACAACCAGAGCGCAATGAACTACCTCCTCCCACCCGAATGGACAACGACCTTCATCCCTCTCCAAGATAAATGCCCCGTCTCCTCCTTCGAGTCGATCGAGCGCATGTTTTTGGAGGATACCGGCACCTCGCTCTGGGACTACTTCTCCGAGTTCTCGCGCGAGCCCATCGGCGCCGCCTCTCTGGCGCAAGTCCACCTGGCCACCATCAAAGAAACCGGCCAGCGCGTGGCCGTCAAAGTCCAACACCCCTCCCTCCAGCGCTGGGCGCCCCTCGACATGCGTCTGACGGCCACCACCTTCAAGACCCTCAAATACTTCTTCCCCGAATACGACCTCGAATGGCTCTCCTCCGAAGTGGAAATCTCCCTACCCAAAGAGCTCGACTTCACCTGCGAAGCCGAAAACGCCCGGCGCACCGCCGCGCACTTCGCCCAGGCCGCGCCCCAACTTCCGCTCTTGATCCCCGACGTCCTTTGGGCACGAAAACGTCTCCTGGTCATGGCCTGCGAATCAGGCCACCGCCTCGACGATCTAGCGTACATGGACGCGCACGGCATCGACCGCGACGAAGTCTCTGCCACGTTAGCGCATATCTTCAACGAGATGATTTTCGGCGAAGGCGCTCCCCTCCACTGCGATCCGCACGGCGGCAACATCGCCATCCGGCACAACCCTAACCCCTCTTCCTCCTCCCAGTCAAACCGACAGTCCAAGTCCAAATCCTCAAAGTCCAACTTCGACATCATTTTGTACGACCACGGTCTCTACCGCGACATCCCCCTCCCGCTGCGCCGCTCCTACGCTAAGCTCTGGCTGGCCATCATATCCGGCGACATTCCCAAGATGAAACAATACGTGTACGAAGTAGCGGGCATCGGGGAAGATAAATTCCCCCTTTTTGCGTCCGCCATTACGGGCAGAGACTTTATCAACGTCGTCAGCGCCACTGACTCCGGCGGCGTGCTCAAGCCGAAGGAAGCGTCTGAGCAAAAATCCATGAGCACGGCACTGCAGGAGGGACTTATCGTTGATCTAGTGCAAATGTTGGGCCAGGTGCCGAGGATTATACTGCTCATTCTCAAAACGAATGACCTCACGAGGGCGCTGGATGAGAGTTTACATACCTCCCAAGGGCCGGTGAGGCAGTTTTTGATTTTGGCGCGGTATTGTATGCGGACGGTGTTTTATGAGCGGTTGGAGGAGATTAGGAAGTTGGGAAGTGTCTGGAGCCCGGCAAATGCGGCGAGGGTGGTGGGTGCGTGGTGGGAGTATGCGAGGGTGGAGGTTAAGTTGGAGGTGTTCGAGTTGTGGTTGAGGGTTAAGAGGGCGCTTGGGTTGGGAGGATATACGTTGGGGGGACCTGGACAGGAGCAGATGGTGCCGGTGGGGAAGAAGGGGCAGAAGAGGTTAGAGAAGGAGGTTGAGAGGGAGCTGGAAGTTGGGGCTAAGGCTGCTGCTGCGTCTGCGTGAAGAGTAGACAGGGTATGAGATGGTGATGAATGGTAGGGCTTTCGAAGACTGTAGGGTGAGGGAAGGATCAAAAGTGGTTCAAGAGACGAAGGTGTGACGATTAGAGATAGAACTTAGATGTAGACAGATGTAGATGAGATACCTACGTATTGTATTTTTTATTACCCAACTCAGGGCATGCTCAACTCATCCATCCAATAATAGCCCAGTGAACCTTCATCAGGTAACACCCCAGCGAAGATTCATCAGATAGAACAAACAACGAAATGCTAGTTTATACGTTACTGACAAACCATTTCAAGAAAAAGACTCGGTATCATCAAAATAACAAAACAACGCCCAGAATGATTTTCCCCCAAGTAGATCAGCGAAATGAATAAACTAACGCTTGCAGGCACGCACGCACGCTCGCACGCTTGCTTTCCTTGAAATATCCATCCATCTTTGTTCTCCTCCCCGCATCCACATCCATCCCATCACGTATCACCCTTATTATCCTATCCCATCCATGATATGATCTAATCCCTCAACAAACTTCCAGTCCTCCTGCTTCCCTCGCTCAAATTCCCTCCACTTCCCCTGCCGCCCTCCCTATCATTCGACGGCGTCATCGGTCTAGGCCCACTAGGCCGTCTCGACACCTGGCCTGTCGCTCCACTCAGATTCTTATTCTCCAACTTCCTTGTCTGGCTCGGGCTGTTAGGGCCGCTACCGCTGCCAGTGCCCTCAATAGGCTCCTTGGGCGGCCTAGGAGGACCACCAGCCGTAATATTAAGGCTGGCGGGCGCCGGCGAGGAAGATGCGTAGATCTGCTGCCAGTTGGGGTTGGCCTCGTTGCCCTGAGAGTCGAAACTATCGCGGTTCAGGTTGCGAGGCAGCCGGTTAAGGCTGGTGGCGGATCCGGCCCAGTCTTCAGACTTGGGGCTCAGCATGGGCGAGTTGCCGCCCGTGAAGCCGAGCGCCTGGCTTTCGAGCGCCTGCTTGAAGCGCTCCGTCTGGCCCTGGCGCGGCTGCGGGTGTACCAGGTTGAGCGAGTTGCGGTGAGCCTTGTACTTGGCCTCCTCGGGCGTCATCGTCACCCAATTAGGCTGCGGTGGCTGCATCGAGTTGTACGCAAGTACGGGGGACTCGGGGTCCTCGTGGAGGTCGTGGCTCAGCTCGGGCCCCTGGGAGTAAGGGTCGTTCTTGGGCTTGGGGTGGGGGTTGGAGAACTGGAAGTTATCCGAGTAGTTGGAGGTGCCGATCGAGTCGGCGCGAGACGAGACCGTGTTGTTGCGGTACGCAGGCATCGTAGGCTGGTCGGCCGGTCTGGGGCTCCACTGCTGCTCATCTTCCTCATCCTTGCGCGACTGGCCGCTGCGGCGGAAGAGTTGAGTAATATTAGTAGTCGTAGTGCTCTCCGACCACCTGGACTTGAACCAGCTCGACCTTCCCTTCTTCTTCTGGTCCTCGTTTTGCTTAGCAGCATTCTGGTAGTCTGGCGACCTGGTGTTCTCGTACTGCTGCTGGTAATCAGGCGATCTGGCGTTTTCATAAGCGGGAGAACGGGTGTTCTCATACGCAGGTGATCTGGTGTTCTCGTAACCAGGCGACATTTGACGAGCACCGGAAGCGCTAGGCGGCGACCCACGGGGCGTCGCCTGCAACGAACCGGAACGCTGTTCGTGGGCAGGGGTCATCAGCACCTCCGGCCCGCCAAAGCGAATGCTCTCGTTGTCATATTCATCCTCGTTGTCCTCGGGCACGGTACTTATCCTGTGGCCGGACACCTTGCGGACGTAGTTTTGCTGACCGGGTGTTCCCCGAGACTGGATGGACAGCTGTCCGGACTGAGACGCACTGTTGGTGGAAGTTCCAGCATGTCCTTCCGGCTCGTAACCGCGATCCTGATCGTATTGGCCCTGCTGAGACTGCATGTTCTCGTACGAACGCTCATCCTGATGGTTCATGGGGACAGAGCCAGCGCCAGGAACAGTCTGGGACTTGAGCACATCCACTTGAGTAAGGAGCTGCATCAGCATATCCTCAATCCTGCCAAGGTCGTTGGGTCCCTTATGACCAAGACCCTTCATCAGAGCACGGCGGAAGATGTTCTTCTGCTTCTTGTTGCTCATCTCGTCCATGGTAGTGGTGGTGCCAGCCTGCGAGTTAGACTGAAGAGAGCGAGGGGCACTGCTGCCAGGATAAGGACGAGGGCCGTTAATAGCGCGCTGGACCGTCTTCTCAGTGTTCTCCTTGACTTCGGTGATAATAACATCCTCAGTATCAGCAAGGAGACGCTTGAGATCCTCAAAGTTATTGCGCATCTCGGTGGCGGCCCGAACAAGGGTGACCAGGATCTCGGTATCTCGCGCACTACGCTGAGCATCACGGACCATCAACTACACACTGTTAGCAACCATCCCTCAGTATAAACACGCAGGCAAACTTACATGTTGCATCAAAGCCATGATATCCTTGGATTCGATCTTGTCAATGCCCGTTCCAGCGGCTGGGTCATACATCTGCGAGTCCATTCCGTCGGACATGCCACTAACTTGTCGCGAACCGGAGCCGAAGAAGTCCATGGGGTTCTGGTTCTTAGCACCGCCAAGGTTGAAAGGAGCGCCATAGTCGATGCCCTTGCCCTTGTCCATCGAAGTATCCGGGGTCCTGTTAGGTCCCTGGGAGATATATCCTTCATCGACCTTCTGACCGACGGGGCTACGAGTGGCATTGCCGTAGTTCTCATAGCCGCCAGGAGAAAGAAGACTGTCTCCAAGACCAGCAAGGTTGGCAATGGGGCTGGCATCCTCATAAGGGTTGGTGACCAAAGTATCGCGCTTCCGGTCCTCGTCAGTCCTGTACCACTCGTCCTGCTCCTGTTGGTTGCCGTTGAGGTTGAGACCCTTCTGGAGAGCATCATGAGTGCCGTCAAGAGGACGATAGTTGAAGTCATCAACGGACGACTGGGGACGTTGCTTAGGGGTAGCATCTCCCTCCCAGCCACCTTCCTCTCCGTTGAGCATCGATGGGTTAGTGATCAGATCATCCTCGTTCCAGTGCTCAAAATCTGGTAACGGGTCGCCGATATCCGGCAAGCCACTGAAGCCCAACTTGATGGGCACAGAGACGTCCGACATCCTGTCGATACTGTGCTTTGGCTCAAGTGCGGGTCCAGATCCGTTCTGGGCGCGTTCCTTGAACGACTTATTGCGCCCAACGCCCTCCCCTTGCCATTCAGAAGTGCCCTGGTTCTCCTGCTTGCCCTGTTGTCTGAGGGCAGCAGCGGCGGCACCAACCGCAGCGCTGGTAATAGCAGCCTCTGAAGCGGTGGTGTAATGGCGCTGTCTCGGGACCTTCCTTCCGTACTCATCAAGATCATATTCTTGGTAATCGTATGAAGCCTGGCTATCGTTTCCAGCAGTATCTGGCCTGTCACCCTCTTGGCTTCCGTTGGTGACCATGGAGTTACGGTATGGTTGCTGGTTAACGCCACTGGATCTAAGCGAGTCCACCATGGAGCCCTCAATGAGCGAAGCATGATTGGAATCGACAGCAGCAGAGGTGTGGACGTAGTTCGGGTTGGCTCCCACGGCACGGACAGGGTGACCATTACCATCAACCTCGCTGTTGGTCATTCCGCTCACATTGCTCTGATCCATACCCGGCGTCCTCAAGCTGGCTACCGACATGTTGCCAGGGGTACGCGAGCCGTTTGATACCGAGCCACCGAATGCGCGAGAATCGCGGTTCGGTGCCTCACTGCCTTCGGTGTATCCGGAGACGCTGGGGATAGGGCTCAGACCGCGCTTCTCAGGTTGGTAAGGAACATACTTGAGAGGAGGCGGCACCTCTTGAGTGTTGTAATAGTCGTATGGGCTATCTCCGTATTCCCGCTCGTGATCATCGTAATCGTCCAGATCATCATAGGACTCGATGGATGACGGTGCGCCGGTGTGGAAGTCGTCCTGGTTCTCGGCACCCCGTTGACGTGGCAGCTGTTTCAGGTCTCCATGTGAGATATTGGCGTGCTGGGTACCCAATGACAGCAGAGTAATCGGGGTCCGGGTGGGTGTCGGAGTGGAATCCTCAGTGTGGTACTGGCCATTCTGATCCTGCTTAGGCGCAATCTCCTCGCTAGCCGAGTGAGGTCTATCTGTGTCGGCTGATAAAATGGAGGCTCTGGTGACGTCCGAGGGGTTAAACTCGCTCATTAGGGGCATCGGAGGAGCAGGTGCGAGGAAGTCAGAGGCATCATCATCATAATCCTCATGCTCATTACCAGCACGATTCCGCAACTCACGTCTTCGCCTCCTACTGCGGTTCTCTCCAGGAGATTTCAGGCTGTCATGGGCTGTAGCTGCAGCCACACCCATCGCCGCACCGGCAGCAGCAGTCTTTAGGCGGTCAGTGCTTGCCGCAGGGCTGTGGTCAATAGTACTTTGCACATCGCTCCGCGTGTCTTGGCTGAGGGCACTTTGTGCCGGGCTCTCATCGAAGGCATTGCGGGCTTCCCTGTCTCGCTTCTCAATCTTGATGGGTTCCTTGGGTGTGGGTGTGGCGCCCGAATTTCTGTCAGCTCTAGACGTCCGGCGCCTATCACTGCCCTCGTCCCTAGAAGCCGTTGTCGCACTTGATGTCGCCGAGGCGGCCTTACGATCCTGACGCAAGCTCTGTTCTCTCTTCAAGGCATTGAGTTCTGGGAGAATAAGGCGACGAATGGCATCTTCTACTGTCTCCAGGAGCTTGGGATTGTTGATTGAGGAGGCCTTTGATTGACCTGAGCGCATTGACTCTGCACCCATGGAGCGTTGGCTGGCAGCTGCAGTCGACAGCATGCTTGAATCGGGCCCCGATACCAAGGAATCGCTATGCTTGGATCTCCTGCGGGGGGACTCTGAGCGCTTCGAGCTCCTTTCCTCTTTGCTGAGACTGCTGGTCCGGCTCTTGGTCGACTTGTGTAGGCGATTGCTACTGCCGCCCTTCTCCCTATCTCCGCGCGTCTTGGTCACTGATAC